GCTATAGCTCCTCTTGCACGGTGACAGAACGAAAGACACAAACGCGTAGAGAAAACAAGTTCCTCAACTGAACTTCCGAAACTGGAAAATCCCCCAAGGCCAACGCCTTGGACTACTTTATACACTCTAAAATCCTAACTTGTGGTAACCCACTTTTTGTTTTTTGTCGGAACTAAAACATTTTTGAATAGTAAGTACCGCGGCAGCAGCTGTAAATAGTAATCGGTACGCGAAACCAGAGGATCGAGGACAGTCAAGGGGTTTTTGGGCTTAGGCCACAGTGGGACGCTTGGGACGGAACGGGCGGTTCATGCTGCAGGATCCGCTTCGAGCACCTTCGGCGGTTGATCACTCATAACTTTCTCAATTCGTAACGCCTTGAGTTGCTTCGGGTCTTGTTGCAAAGAGCTCGCGACGCTCGTTCTAACGAGACCAAGAACTTGTGAAACGGATGAGAGGTCACTGAGTTATGAGTGTCGGAAGTTACTGATGGGGGGGGCCTTCGGCGGTAGAGCGACTTTGGCGGTACGCCTTCGGCGGAAGAACCGCCGGAAGATGCGCCTTGGGCGGTAGACGCCTTCGGTCAACGCCTTCGGGTCAACGCCTTCGGCGATACGGGAGAGTGCATTCGGCGGAAGAGTGAAACCCTCATAACTTTCTCAATGCGCAACGCCTCGACTTGGTTAGGGTCTCGTTGGAAAGAGCTCAACGCGCTGATTCTAACGAGCCCAAGAACGCCACGAACGGAGGAGAATTCCGGGAGTTATGAAGGTCGCAAGATACTCAGCTTTCCGCCTGCGCACCGGCGAAGAAACTTTTGTCCTATGCTCGGACGAAGGAAGTTCGCCTGTGCACAGGCGCTTCGGCGTCGGCGGGAAATCCGCCTTGGGCCCTAGAAATGCGCCTTGTGAGGTAGAAAGTGTACGGCGCCTTCTGCGCCAGATCATCGCCGCGGACGGCCAGGTCAGTGCCGCGGACGGCCAGGACAACGCCGCGGACGGACAAGTCAGCGCAGCGGACGGACAGCTCAGCGCCGCAGACAGCCAGGTCATCGCCGCGGACGGACTGTGGATAGGCGAACGCCTTCGGCGGAAGAGTAAAACCGACATTACTTTCTCAATTCTTAGCGGTTTGACTTGATTCGGGTCTCGTTGGAAAGAACTCGACGAGCTGGTTCCAACGAGACCAAGATCTCTTGAAACGGATGAGGCATCACCGAGTTAGAAGCGGCGGAAGTTTCTGATATGGAGGGCCTTCGGTGCTAACATTTAGAGGGGCCTTCGGCGTTAACACTTAGAGAGGCGGCTTACGCCGCGGACGGACGCGGACGCCTGTGCACAGGCGGGTTGCAAGTAGGCGGCCTGTGCACAGGCAGGCCTTCGGCGGAAGGGTAAAATTGACATAGTGTTTTCAATTCTTAATGGTTTGCGGTGGTTAGGGTCTCGTTGGAAAGAGCTCGCGATGCTCGTTCCAACGAGCCCAAGAACGACTGGGACGGATGGGAATTTAGGGAGTTAGGACTATCGGAAGATACGTAGACGTTCTCCTTCGGCCCTAGATGTTCGCCTTCGGGGTTACGCTTCCGGGAATTCCGCCTTCGGAGGTAGGGAGATCGACTTTTGTCCGATGCGCGGACGGACGCCTTCGACGGTTGCAGGCCTTCGGCGGAAGAGTAAAACAGTGATAACTTTCTCAATTCTTATCCGTTTGACTTGGTTAGGGGCTCGTTGGAAAGAGCACAACACGCTCGTTCCAACGAGCCCAAGAACGTTGCAAACGAAGCAGGGATCCGTGAGTTATGGGCGTCGGGGTGACTGTTAGAGATTGACAAGGTGTGGAAGTGCGTCTTTGGCGGTTGGACGCATTCGGCGGTGCGCGGAAGGAGATTTCCTCCGGCGAGGATCGGGTGGTCATGAATGTAGAATGTTCAGGTGTGGCAGTGGCGGCCTGCGAGTAGGCGGCTTGCGTGTAGGACGCGTGGAACCCACAGTCCTCGGATTTTGGAGAAGGAATTTTGGCCTAGGTTCAGAGATCTTGCGGGGCCCATATCTTTGCGATGGACGGTCGGATGAATCTGAAATTTTGTGGGGCCGTTGATCTCGGCCGGCCACGCCTGCCTGCAAATTTTCAGGCTCAGATCTTGGATGGTAAGGCGCTGGCGGCTCTGTACAGTAGGCTTAGGATTCAGATTTAGGGTTAGGGTTAGATTTAGGTTGTAAGTTAGAGGGGAAGGCAGCCGCCGACTCCTCAGGTGTAGGTTCTGTTGCGGCTCGCACCATGGTAGTGCAGTGTAGTGTTAGGTAGGACTTAGAAGGTATAAAATAGTTCCAGGCGTTTTGCCTGGGGTTCTTTCCCATCAGAAGTGCAGATCAGGAACCCATTTCCTTTGCGTGTTTGTGTCCTTGAGTTCTGTCACCACGCATGAGGAGTTACAACTTAGCGTTCCGCATTTTGTAGCTGAAGGCCTTCGGCCGAATGTTCAGAGCTAGTACATTGGTTAGAGACTTGAGTAGTTCGGATCTGCACCTGCGGGTGACTGCCGATGCTCAGAGCCAGTGACTAGTTAGATACTTGAACAGTTTCGCCCCTACACCTTCGAGTGTTTCTTTCTGATTGTACTCCTTTGGGATTTTTCCCCTGAATGCCAAAGTGAAGTTTTGTTACCTCGTGTAAGCCTTGGTTGTAAATTCAGGTTACGCTGCAGCAGGTGCCTTGAGGGTAACCCCTGTAGTATTTCTGGGAATGACAAGTGCCTGAGAATTCAAACTCTTCAATAGACTGTTGTTGTGTTACTGGAATGTTTCACAGTGAGTCCTTCAGTGTGGACCTGTGTTCTCTGCGCGTTTTGTGAGTTGAGAGTGTTGTTCACCGCGTCTGAGTGACTTCGATCCGAAGTAGGCAGTCCAAACCGGGTTTCCTACACTAGCAGCAAGCTAGTGGAAGCGTTGTAAAAGCCGGAGTTGGAAGTCACTGCCCGCAGCTTTGCCGAGTGTGCTCGTGAGAGACTTTCCCCCTGAAATCTTGAAGTAGAGGTCCTAACGGATCTCTGGGTTGTGTTTCTGTAGTTTCAGGTGTGTGTGTGTGTGTGTTACGCTGCACTGTGCGACCTCCGAGTGCGCTCCGAGTGGACACTTGCAGTATTTCTGGGAGTGACAGTAGCCTGAGAATTCAAACTCCTCAATAGTCTGTTAAAACGTGACACTTTGTACCCTGTGTGTTCCTCTGTCCCTGTGGGTTCAACCTTTCTACCACTATATTGCAGTTTTAGCCTTTAGTGGGTTATTACATAACTACCTAACACTCTACTCTACTCTTCATCGGCTATGCCTCCGATGCGAAGGCCGACTACTCACTAACTCCCTACCCGTCCACTCGTCTGCTCTCCTACGCAGTCCCTGCCGCCGCAACACCGCGTTCACCTCTGCCTCAAGGTTCGCAATGGCGTCCCGCGACCTCGAGAGGAATGGCTCCAACCGCTTCGCCACGCGCCGCCGACTCCGACTGTCACCAAACATCAAAGCTGCTGCACATATTTCCATTTCGCACAAGGTCATTCTCTCCCGCGCCGCAATCTCCAAATCAAATCCGGCTCCGCCGAAGGCAGCTCGGTTGCTTACTCCGCCGAAGGCACTTGTGTCTCCACATCCCTGCCTTCGGCCGTAGGAATGTGCGCTAAAGGTCTCAGCGCCGAAGACGCCTAAATCAGCTCTTGCCCCAAAGGCCCTTGAGCCGAAGACGTGTGAGTCAAAGGCGCTTGGGCCGAAGGCGCGGCTTCGGTCAACACCGGCTCTGAAGTCACGCACACCTCTGACGTATGCACTCTGACCCGAAGGCCTACGTGCTCGGCCCGAAAGCACATGTGCCTTCGACGCAGGGAGGTCAGTCGACCTCCCAAGAACTCCTTTACTCCCATCTTCCTCCTTTGAGGAAGGCCATCCCTTCGAGATTGCAGTACGTCCCGTATCCGCGCTGCTGCCTGCTGTCAAGATCAGCTTGCGCACCTTCTGCTTTGGTCGGGTTTGCTCGTTGATCGTCCGACGTCTCGATGGAACGGCGACCTCTTCTTGCCGCCTTTCCTTCCCCTCCTCTCCCAATTTTCGCTTCCTGGGTGCTTGCGCACCCTGCGACTCTTCTTCGATTCTCAGTTGGCCCGGCGGTGTGACTGCAGGCACTTCTTTGATGTAACGTGATTCACCTTCGGAGAGAAGAGCAATTTATTTTAGGTCATGTCTAGAAAGACATAATACACAGGGAGAAACTCAAGGTATTTATCTTCAATTCATACTCCCGTCTTCGTTATAAATCGCTAAGATCAGAAGTTACTCTTTAATTTGAATTAACCTCAAGAAAAGTTTTTCATCATGAAGTTTTCGAATATGGTATATTTTTAGTTATTGCTACGCGACTATCCATTAGTATTAAGTAAAATCAAGCTCTTAAGCTTATTTCAAACTTCCGCCATTTTAGGCCATAATCTGTGTGAATTGCTTCGCAAAACACTTTAGTTCTATTTAATTTTCAAATAAAAATCCAAAATTTCTTTTCAAATCAATCTAACATGAATTTTGAGCAAAGTTTTAATTATTTATGTTTAAATATGTTTTTTATTTATGACTTTTTTCAAAATTTATAAATTAATATTTTTACCATTTATATTTATCTATATAATATTTTAAAATTAAATTTCGTCATTTTCATAATATTACATAAAAATTAAAATAATATAATATAATGAAAATTTTATTCAAACATATAAAAATATTTTTCTATAATTAATTCACGTATTTATCATTACAATTTTTTATATTAAAATATTTCTTTCCATGGTTGAGCATGATAGATACAAAAATCTCGACTCCAAGCATACTCAAGCCGTAGGGAACTCCCCATCGGCACGGACAATACCGTACAGTAATAGGAAAGTAGACTGAATTGCCCGCTTTCCAATTGCGCAGTGGTAACCAAGGGAGCCAATGCAACAAATTATGTTACAGAATTCTGCGTTTGAGAAGACGAAGGCTTTGCGTCAATGGCGACAGATGAGAGAGACACAGACGATCGGAGAGGTTTCCAGAGATAGACGCATCTTGTACAATTTTATCGATTTTGATGTACAGTAAATGAATATTTACAGAAGGGCAAGGAGCCGAGCAGAAGATTGTGGAGCTGTGAGAGTGTAGACTCTTGGTTCCCTCGAGTGATACAGCGGTTGTGGCTTTGAGTCCAAATCTTCCAGCAGGCAGGTCACCAGCCGAGGAGACTCTCGGCAAATCCTGCAGAAGGAGCTTCTCGAAATCACATAACTCGGTATCTGATCGGGCAGAGAGGAAGAATTCTGTAGAATGCTAAGAGCTAGCGATTGTGAGAACCAGAAACCGAATATGTTCGAGGAGCTCTGGGCGGAGCATGATCCCTCGCTCACGCAGCTTAGTTATCTCTTCTTCGAACAGGTCTCGAACAGGTCTCATAGACGTGAGCATGACGCTGTCGAGCATGTTGTCGGAGTTTTTCATGAACCCCTCACGCAATGCCTCCATCTTCTCCGGTGGATACTCTTTCCAGATTTTGGCAAACTGATTTCCCTTCATGATGCCGTCCACGTGATTCACCACAAGCACTATCCTGTCACACAATTTCTTGCGCACCTCCTTGGGCACATTGGCACAGTCTGCTGTGACGTCTCCGTTGAATCTCATCAGAACCAGGCACAGATCCGGCAGCTGCTCAAAAGCCTCCCACATGGTGGACAGAGGTTTGCGATCGTGCGCAGCGCCCATGCCGGGGAAGTCCACCGCCACCAAATTCCCCAGGGCGTTCACTCGGTAGCCTTTCGGATCATCGGTGTGAGTCGTGTACCCGGTCGAGGCTGCATCGGCTTCCTCATCGTCGTCCTCGTCATCATCCGAGTCCTCCTCCAAATCCGGAGCTCCATTCCGCAGAATGTTGATCAGTGTACTCTTGCCCACATTCTCAGGCCCAACGACGGCCAGCACCTTCTCTTCCTTGGCAACTTTGTGTGCAGTGTCGATCGCCAGCATCAGGTTCACGAAGTCCATGACGGTTTTCTTTGTTTCGAGGTCTTGGGCTTTGAGCTCGTGCTCAACCTTGTGTATCCACTTATAAGGATCGACGCATGTCCCGTCCGAATCACAGGCTCGGGCCTTCTTCACAATCTCCCTCTCATAGTCCGCCACGTTCTTGTCCCCGGGCAGCAATGTTTGCTCTGGATAAGACTCAACAAAACCTTATTTCAGTTCCTACAAATCGAACTAGCATACAGTCCATTTTTTCTTTCATACCATCGAGATGTGAGATTTCCCTGTGGCTTGTGGAGCAGTGCGCTATGGCACCACAGCAGAAAGCAAAACGAACTGAAAATATCTGCATTCAAGTTTTAAAGCAGAATTTCAACGAAGGTGCTGAAATAGACTGTAAATCTACAGAACGTATGATTGGAAAGTGTCATGCCTGGACTCAACGAGGCGTAGATGAACTTCACAATCTGGTCGTAGTCTTCCAGCTTGATCTCCTTCCTGTACGAGAGGATGAAAGCAGCCACGCCGACTACGAAACCTCCAGCCGCCAGGGGAATGGCGATGCCCATGGTGGAAACACTGACAATGACAGCCAAGGCCACGTACAGAGTCACCACTGACAAGCCACCAAGGCCCCGTCTGAAGAAGCGCTGGCGTTTCTCACTGGTCCCAATGAGCGGGGGGAGTTTGATCGACAATGTGGTTTGATTGAGATAATTAGAAACGCTATCTATGAAAGGGTCTGCTTCTTTTCGTCGATCGAAGACCGACTTTTTGAGATTATCTAAGCCAGAAGTGAATTGCTGCAGTGCATCTTGCGTCTCTTTACGCCCTGTGATTTCTGCTGCCATTTTCAGATGCTGCTTCAGGACCCTGATCCTTTCCTTTGAAGAACTATCGGCTGATGTCTCTTGTACACTGTCGAGAATGACTATCTTTCCGATGACATGCTTGAGCTCGTTTATGACATGGCTTCCTGTGCCCGAGGCCTTCCGATTAACTTGATGCCATTCAGTCTCGCCGAACATGGTCTTGACCTTCACATTGACTGTGGTCTGGTTGCTCGTCAGCAATTTCACCTCGCGAGTAGTGAGCTTGGCCTTGTTCCGAAACACGATGCTGTTCTGCTCCACTCTGGTTATCTCCCATTTCTCCTCGAAATCTGACACTGCACATTTCTTCCTCAGGCACAGGCCAAGATTGTACCCCACGACCTCCAGCTTAGCACTGTTCACGTCTCCTCGTTGCTGACCCGATATGATCGTGAGAAAAGCTTCATCCACCTTCGGAGGTAAGCCTTCTGCAACATTCGGTACTGGAACTCCGGAATATTGCAATAGATGTCTCAGAACATTCAACTCGTAGTAGGTCATCGCGTGGTTCTGGGATTGCACACGTCAAATCATCAGTAACTTAACTCTCGAAGTCGTTAGATGGATAAACAACTTCTAAGAGATTCAACCCCGCTCAATAATCTGCATGTAGCTTCTATTAGAAATATGAATTTGTAAGCTGACAATTAAGCGCACGATGTGTAAACTTTACTCCATGACCAATCAAGAGTATGAAGTAGATTACGAAGGGAGATCAACCATGAGGAAAAATAGCTTGATACAATGCATTTGTTTACAGCATTCATCCATACCTTAAAGCTATCTTGTGTCCAACTCAGGGTGAAATTGTCTAAATATTTGGGTTTTGGATTCGGTTGCGTTGCAGAGACCCTCCCGAATGCAGCATATCGTCTGCCGCGTGGACACGGAATTGATCTCAGGCGCTTCAATTCTGTGTCTGCATCTTCTACCCTCAGAGCAGGAGGCATGGTTAACTTCTTCCCACTCCGTCCCGAGCTCTCTGGGAAACACTCACTTCCAGATTCAACCAAGATGGTTTGCAATTTTGAATTCAGCTGTCAGCACGAAAGTTCAAGCAGTGATCAGCTTTCGTACTTGACAATCCGCAAAGTCACTCAACAGCAAGAAGCTTGCACGACGAGTATCATAAGACATGAAGAAGAGAGTTCATGGAAGTCAAATCTCAGTCTTAAAAATATTAGCCTCTCTGCAAATCAACCAGTTCTCAGTTCTTCGTGAAATCGTGCAGTCGTCTAGGATTGATGAGAAATCTTGTTATGATTCATGAAGAACTAACCTTTTTGTGCAATACTGGATCAGATGGATATGCCCCGAGCTTGCGAAGCATCAACGGAACAGGATCCTCTTCATTGTTGTAGTTGAAGAACCTGCTTTCAACGGGCATTTGTCCACTATCTGAGAAGAAATCTCGAGCTTCTTCATCTAAGAAAAGAGGAGCTCCGAAGGCTATGGACAGAAAGTTCTCGTGGGACAAATTCTTCATCTCCTCAGGATCGTTGCCGAAAAGAGAGAACAGTAAGCTGAGCATGGCTACGTGAGACAGGGCCCCTCCTATACCATGTCCACAGAAGATCGTGCGATCTTCACGGTCGGAAGTCTGCGAACTGAGATCCAAATTGGCACAGAATGCCATGAGCTCAACTGGACCAGGAAGATCATCCTTCAACGTGTTGAAATAACCATTGTGTATGTGACCCTTCATAGTAGCACGAGTTGGAAGGCATTGAAGTTGTGAATCCGCGATGTCAAAGAGTGTTTCCAGAGCACTGCTTCCCTTGAACGCGACATATTTCGTAAGAACATAGACTCCGTTGACAAAATCATAAGCCGTCGCTATCAAAATGCGAGGCTTTTGCTTCGATAACGCTGGCCCCAGAATGACCTCTCCAAAGTTCAGATCGTTGTACCTCGCGAAAGTGTTACTCTTGCCGACTTCCAACTCCTGGTACAATGCAACACAACAAACTGCTGCACGCTGACGATCTTTTGCTCTCACACTGTCTTCCTGATCGGAACTTGAATCGGAGCTCATGATTCCAAGAGTTTCTGCACCTCCCCGCTGCTAGTAAAATGCCAAAAGGCCAGGTATTTTCCCTTGCTAAGCTAGCTAGCTGAAATGAATGAGTACATGGATTTTATGAATGAATGAATGGTTGATCGGGAAGAATGCACTAACTTTGTGGCTGCTCTATGCACTCCTAGTGAAAAAATTAACTCGTCAAGAATCTACTCGGTAAATGATGATCCTAACGCTATTCTTCTGGAGATTGTAGGCATATCTACAAACATCTGTGGAAAAGGCTAATTTTATGGATTTATCATATATGGATCACACAAGCTATTGCTTTTACTCAAGTTTGTTTTTATCAGACTATCGATAAATCCACAAATAGTCCAGAAAACTATACAGCAGTAAGAAAATATGATCGATTTCAGATAAAGATAAGAGAAGACAGAGAATTATGGCTCTGCAGAGGAAAGGAGCTCTTCTCAGCCAGCACTAACTAACTCTTGTCCATTATCGTGGACACGAACTTCTCAATTTGAAAACGCCACTGCTGACGTGCTTGATGTGCAATCAAAATAGGAAGCAGCTTGGATTCTGTGCTCCCCTCGAGCTGTCAGGCTTTCCAAATGCAATTTACACTACTTCCGCTACTTTGCCACCAAGCTATCTGCGTCAATTCAAGCGCCAGCATTCCCTTCGGATCCTCGACTCCGTGGACAGTAATACGGAGTCTTCCGGCATGGGCTAGAAGGAAGCGGCCTTGAAGAAGATCATCGTCTTCATTCCGAAGCCTCCCTGCCTGTCCTTCCAATTGCAGGTCTTGCTAGGCCTGACACATTAGCCTTCGAAGTTCTGTGTTTCACGTCTTCATCATCGGACACGAGCTCTCGGAATCCAGACTTTCGAATCCCAGCAGATGCTTTACTCGTGATCCCTGGGTAGCGAAAGTGATACAGAAGGATTCTGGAGTCAACTCAAGTTTAGCTTCAGTTGTGCGGCGGATAGATCGCGCTTGAGGACCGGATCTGACTCTCTAATCTCTACAGCAACGTGGTTGATGACATTGTGCCGTCCTAGGTTCGAAACGACACTGAGAATCTCGAGCTCCCTCCCGCATTCTGACTCTCGAAGTAGGACAACTTTTGCCTCTTCCAGGCCACTGCTCCGTACTGCTGTTAGCCAATTCAGGAGAATATATATTATAATAATAATAATAATACTGTGAACGTGCACGACAATCGATCTCAATTGTATTACATGAAGCTAGAAACGGGTTTGGCATGACGTCCAATGCAAGACGGATGCCTCCAGAGTTCAGGCGAAGGCACGAACTAGTGCCTAGAGGAGATAGGACAAACATGGCTTGCTCAAAGGCCTCCCTGCAGCTGGCAATGTCAGCGGTCATTGTCATTGCAGAATTCCTGTGATATTCATCCAGCTTGGAGATGGATGGTTCACGGTGGCTGTAGATGAGGTCTGGAAGCTTGGAGGTTGTAGCGCAGGGAGAGCCACAGTCACTCATAACAAAAAATGTCCTTCCGGGTACGTTACCTTAAATGTCGGTGAATCTTACTTGTGGCATCCACTGAGCCTCTACCATTTTCCCTCCCCTGATCACATCTGTAGAACGGGCCCAGCTGAACAAGCGTTTCAATTGTTGCTAGATTGACGTAAATTCGCATCCTTCCACCATGGAAATCTATGGGGAACTTTTTCTCCATCCACCTCCGGCTCTGCAACATCTCCAGCCTGAATTCTCGAGAGCCACCTCGTGCCACTTCGGCAGAACAAGAGGCGCGAGGACCGGAACATCGCATCACAAGGGCTCAGGGAACTATCGGTCGTGACATATACAGTCTCTCGACATACCATACGCAATTCCATGAAACTCACGATGCTGAAGACGCAATTGTCTGTTGAGTGTGCATTCAGCGCATGGCAGAATATGGGTCACATGTGGACTCGCGTGCAGCTTCGTGTGCGGTGGGGTTGACTGCACAGAACCTCGGGTGGACCTTTATGTCATGGAGTCCAAGAGTTAAAGCACAATCGTCGTGGATGGGAAAGCTCCACCTACTTCAGCCGTCATAGGAACAAGGACAAAAGCGTGGTCCGACGTCTGTTGCTGTCCATGTAACAGAGAATGTAGAGACAACCAGTCATGGCCGACTTGTTGCTACCCGTCCACGTTGTCTGTGATTCGAGAGACTGATCATTTGACACACATTTGGCCGCCACCTTTGTCAGAAGCAGTTTGGCAAGTACGATGAACGTGCGAGAAAGACTTCAGATTTGCTGGAATTGTGCACAGAAATGCAATAAGAGTTTGCTTTTACTTCGACAACTCTTGACCAGAAAGCTGCACTGAATTAGACAACGCAGTAAAGGTGCAAAACTTGTCTTCATTGTTGTCTTGATCTGAATTAATTTGCTCCCTCGTAGTCAGTCAGCAAACAAGTCGGAATCCAGATTTTGGACTTAAGGACCACACCTCGGAAATATTCTCAATTTCGCCGTCTGCTTTGCCCCGAGTACTTGTTGCAGTTGACTTGATCTGATTGTCGGGTCAAATCTCATGAAAAGCATTTTTCGTTTCCGATCACCTTAACTCTCTCAATTGTGCATCTTGGCACATCGAGTACCAATCGAGCCAAATGTATGACGACTTTACCGATCTACGCTCGGGTTTCATCTGTTCCTCCTTGTCCACATTGATCTTTGCAAATGCGTCGATCGATGAGTCATGTGAACTTTGAACTCCAACTTCATCTAGTTCACTATGTAAGATGTGCATGATGTGCGCAAAGCAAAGCGGGGCCAACAAAATCAAGGAGACGAAATGAAGTGTAGTGACCGAGTACAGAGCGGCCGAAATGATACCAAGACGGTTTTTTGAACAAGAAAGTGAAATTGTACAAAGTAGGTGAGGTAAATCCGAACGTGAAATTCGCGAGAATCTGGAAATCTCTAAATGGGGTTCTTCTGGTTTCAGGGGTATACATCGTTATGGTTTCCAAGCTGGGGGGGTCACAGAACTCGAATGGCCGTTCGGTTTCTTCGTGCTCCCACCACGGGACCTGGAACCTTGTTGATTCACAGTCTTAGAGTTGGAGGGTGGCGTTGGAGTGGGACTCGGCTCCAGACTCGTAGACTGATCGAGATTGACTCTGGTCGATCGTGAGGTAATGTGGTGTGCGAATCCATCCTGATGCTTCAAACTTTTGGGCAAGCCTGTCGTTGATGTCGATGTCGATGACGAGACTGAGGTTGAGGTTGAGGCTGAGGTCGCGGTCGAGGTCGATGAGGCGGAAGAAGTCGCTTGCCCTTCAGGGAAGTCCCTGTCGCCAGAAACTTCTTGATCCAGAACCTGACAATCATCGCTCTTGACACTCTCGTCCGCTGCGGTCGACGATTCCGAAGCGTTTGGTTGTATGAGGTGATCCCTGTGCTCCGAAGATTCGAGTGCAGTGGGTTGATTAGTTAGTGGTGATGGTGGTGGTGTCTTGGGGTTCCACATCGGGCTTGCGCCAGTTTCTGAGGTGCTCGAGTGGCCAGATTCATTCCTGGCTGCATGAGAAGCACCGTCTGAATCCGTTTGTGGAGGATCACAAGGCTTGCAACTCTGCTGCTGCTGCTGCTGCGGCAAGATTGCTGCTGCAATTGGCTTCGAGGAACTCAGAGCTCGTTCATCGAGACTAGCCAGTGACTTCGCTTTGGGGATACTAGCCCGCTCGACGAGTGCATCACCACGGACAGGTTTCCTGTCAGCTGCGTGCGCGCTTACTACAGGGTGCTCGATGCGGCGGGGAGCCTCGGCAGAATTCGAGAGCGCTGATGCCGCCGAGGGAACAGCTTCTGCAGCTGCTGAATCCGCCGGCCCCCTGACGCTGGGATTCTTAATCCAGTCAAGGATCTTCTTCCGCACCTCCTTGGAGAAAACGATGCCTCGATCTTTCAGCTGCACTTTTTCGCTCTCGTAGAGTCCCTCGTCCTCGAGGCAGCAGAGCAGAACATCTTTCAGATTCACATCGCTCGTGTCCAGCGCTTGCAGGAATCTGTCGTGCAAGCCATCAATGCTCTCCTTTGTGTACTGCTTCCAGATTCTGGCCCTGGGACCCCCTTTGAGAATCCCGTCCACGCGATTCACCAGCAGCATGACATCGGGGCAGAGCTTCTGCGCTGCGAGGCGAGGAAGCTCCTGGCTGCCCTCGGTGACATCCCCCCCGAATGGTATCAGGACAATGCACCGATCCGGCAGCTTGGCAAACGCCTCCCAGATCGTCGACAGCGAGCTCCGAACGCCAGGGGCTTCGGTGCCGGGGAAATCGACCGCCAGAAGGTCTCGATCGAGGCGGTAGCTTTTCATGTCGGACGTGTGGACCGTGAACCCCGTGGCCTCCTTGCTCTTGCATCCGAGCAGATTGGCCAATGTGCTCTTGCCGGCATTCTCTGGTCCGATCAGAGCCAGCAATTTCTGCTCCTTGGCCACTCTGAACGCCGAGCTCAGCCAGAACAGCAGCTCTAGACGCTTGCACAACGAATCTCGGCTCTTCTGCGACAATCCACAGAACCAGCTCTCCATCATCTTCTCCCTCCTCAGCACGTCCCCATCGTAAAACCCCTTGATGGCCTCAAAAAGCTCCTGCTCGTATCGTTTGATGCAATCCGCATGCTCCTGCGACCCTGCATCGACCACGACGAAATCAGGCCATGGAAGACATTCTTCTTTTTCTGCGAAACAAATTCATGCCATGAAATCAGAAGCACGACGATGTGATTGGAGATTTGGTTGGAGCTCACCTCCGTCGGGGGCTGCAGAGTGTTTCTCCAGGACGACCAGCGCATGCAAGCAGCTCAGAATCTGGTCGTAGCTATCGAGCTCGATGGTCAGCTGACCGTCATGGTCGCAAGGGCCGAGAGCCTTCGTTCTGAGATCCAAGGACTCGATGAAAGGGTCGATGTGGAATTGCTCGTGAGCCTCGGGATTCGCGAAGAAGGTGAACGGATGCTGGCGGACGAGCTGTGCTGCTCGCTGGATCTTGCGGGCACCGTCGGCCTCGAAGATCAAGGTGATAGGTTTGTGACAGAGCGCGTAGCTCAGCTGAGCTATGAATCCCCGATCGATGGCGGTTTTCTTCGCGTGCACGGTGCCTTTCGTGGGCTGAGCTATGGCGCTGAAGGATTCTTTGAGCCCGGTCAGATCCGCAGCCTTGGCCAAGTGCTGCAGAATCTTCCTCCCTGGCTCTCCGCCCTTGGGGCCGTCTGTATCGAGCAGGACGAGCACCTTGCCCACGGCGTGCTTCAATCCATCGATCACGGCGCTATCGGCCGCCAGATCGCGCAGCAGCACGGGGCAGAACTCGCCCGAGTCTCTGCCGAACACCGTCTCGACCGACACCGAGGTGGCTCGATTCCCATGCCCCACCCTCGCGAGCTCGATCAGCTCGCCCTGCGAGACGTACACATTCTTGCCGTCCGTCGCTCGCAGCGTCTCGAAGATGATGCTGCTGCAATCGGCCGCCACGAGCCTCCATTTGTCGGAGAACGTCGTCACTTGACACCTCTGCTCCAGAGCCAGCGACAAATTGCTGCCCTTGGCGATGATTCTGGCCCCCTTGAGCTTCTCGGACGTCTCGCATCTGATCAAAATCAATTCGGCTCTGTCCAATCGAGGAAGTGGGCCTTCCTTGATGCTGACCTCGCTCACAGGACCGCCCTTCGTCTCGGCCCCGTGGGATTTCACCAGCGGATTGAAGTAGGACGCCATTCTGTTAATCTGCATCGAATTTCCAACACAATTTCCACTGAGTAGTCCAATTCCCTGCCATTCCAATTCAATAATCACTCGAATCGAGCTTGAAATCAACAATAGACCATGGACTCGTGCAAAGCTCGAGTCAGACCATTGATTTGACACCATTAATTGTGATTGCAGTGCAGTACCTTGAGAGTGTTCCTCTTGAGCTTGAAGTCATGATCGATGATTTTCTTCTGCTTGACGGGCGTGACGACATGACTGTCGCTGGTTCTCGGGAACGAGAGCTGTTTGTAGGTGCCGACGGGAGCGAAGACATTGGCAGCAGACGACGAGTCGTCGCCGGGCTTGGTCCTGGCCTTCTTGATGTCAGCCTCGAGGTGCCACATCTGCCTCTGGCTCGCCATCTTCACTTTGGCGATCTTGCCGCCGTGCGTCACTCTGCGGATGATCTCCTTGCCATAGCCTGCAACCTCTTTGCCGAATTCCGACACCTTCTTGCTGATGTTCGACTTTCTGCCGCTCGGTGGAGGAGGTGGATGAGGAGGAGGAGCAGCAGCAGCAGCAACAATGGCGTCCTTCTCGTCCTTCAAATCCTCGACGAGGTCGGGATCCTCGAGTCCATGGAGGTCGTGGAGCTTCTCGCCCTTTCTGGCCTTCTTCTTCCCCGTGACATCGATCTGCTTGGGAATCAGGGCAATTTGGGCCTGGACGGGCGCAACTCTGGCCGAATCGTGCGTGCTCACCGATTCATCGTCCTTCTCCTGATCGAGAGTATCGTCCTTCCTGCATCCCATGAGCAGACTGTCCCTGGACAGAGCTGGAGACTTTCGCTTGTGCAGCACCGTGCGAGCTTTGCTCGTGCCCACCTTCCTGACGACAAGGGATCTGCCTGCCACCGTTAGTGAAGCGGCGTTCTTGACTTTGAGCTGCGCGATGGAAGCCACACCCACAACAGCAGTCAATGCAAGCGACAATCGCAATCTGCAACGAGAACTCGATCGAGCATGCACAAGAGCAGTTCCATCCACATCCACGGGAGGAGACATGGGGAGGGAAATTCGACTGCACCTGTTGGAAATGCTCCTGCAGCTGATTTGAGATCGGCGCTCGGCCGAGCAGAAACGGAATCGGATCCTTGGCCTGGAAGAAATTCACAAACCTCTTGGCCACTCGCATGTCCTTGCGAGTGGCCAGAAACTCGGCAGCTTTGCTGTCGAAGGCATGCGGAGCTCCGAAGGTGATTGACAAGCACTCGTCGTCGTGCTTGGGGCTCAGGCCATCGCTGGACATCGACAGCAGGTACGTGACGGCCGCGAGGTGAGACAGCGCCCCTCCCAAGCTATGGCCGCAGAAGATTAGCCGAGTGCGCACGGGAGCATGAGCACGAGCACGAGCAGGAGGCAAGCATTCTCCTCCATCTGCTGCATCCGCATTGCCATTCTGCTGCTGCCGCAGCTGGCTCGAATCGCCCGGGCTCACGACGAGGCTGCGGCAGAATTCGAGCAGCCCATCGAGACGGGGAACCATGTCGCCCAATCGATTGCAGAAATTGGTGTGGTAGGAGCCCATGTCGGGGCTCAGCCCGTAGCGGATGGACGATTGCTGGAACAATGGGAGCTCTGCGGGCTCGGCCACATCGGAGAAGACGTCGGCGAGATTGCTGTTGCCTCTGAATGCGACGTAGACCGACCTCTCGTCGCCATCGAGGGCTGTGGCGACGAGCACATTCTGCTTGAAATCCTCCTCGTCGGGCTGCGGCTGCGGGGACAGAAACACTTGCTCGAAATTGAGCCTCTGCACGACGAGCGATTTGAACAATTCCGTGGCCTGGCGAGCATTGTGGTAAGTGGCGTAGCAGCAGGCCGCCGCGCGCTGAACGTGGACATTCTCCTCGGTGCATTTGCTGGGCTGCGCATCGGCGGCGCCAGGGTCGTCGCCCTGCGTCGAGCCAGCGGGCGAGATGGTGGTCGAGTCGGGCTGCGCATCGACGCAGGTCGATTTGGGATTGATGGCGACGAGCTGCATGTGGGCGCTTTTGCATGTGAAGCTTGTGGCCGGGAACTTGATGCTCGAGAGCGAGAAACTCCTCCTCCTTGCCTTGACCGATCGAGACTTGGAGGAATGCGATCGAGACGATGGTGCGCGCAGCAGATGAGCATTTTCCTTCACGTCCGACTCGCAAATAGTTTTACAGCTTTTCCTTCCCATTCCCATAAAGCTCGCCATCCTCTCCCGATGAGATCGGCATATATCATTTGCGCCGTGCCATGGGCGGGAGCACCTCGAGGGATCCTGACGACCACTGACCGATCGTTGCCAAGTATTTTACCCTTCTCTTGCGCAAAATCAGCATCATTTGTCGGTCGTGCAAACTCAACTGCTCAAGTAGAGTGCGAAGCTCCAATCGGTGCTCAATCAATCAATCAATCAATCAAGTGGAAGTGGCAATTCCGTCTCCGCGCATCCCATTCGCGGTGTCCAAACTTCTTGGCCTGCATACGTAGTGTCTTCATGTACTCTCCCCTGAATCTGAGGCTCCAGCTGCCGGCGATTGCAGCAGGAGCAGGCTGGCAGTTGACAATCACATCGATGCGCAAGGCTCTCGTCCTCCTCCTCCTCGTCGTCGTCGTCGTCGTCGTCGTCGAGGGGGCCCCACTCGGCAACACAAATTCCCCCGGCCCCCGATTTTGTGTTTATTTCACGAAAGTCCAGATCAGAATTCGCAGCTCTCAGCTCTCATGCTCCAGTCAGCAGCCCTTGCCGCACAGAACGTGAGAGCAGAAGTTGATTCCCAGGCACGATTGGCCCCCCGATCACGATCTGCTCAGCATGGGAAATTGAGTGAATCCAGGCTGAAGTGGCAGGGGAGCAGTCTCTCCCTCCCTACATGTTCTTGTCGCACCGAGCTCCATGCTCCGGGGCGTCCACAGCGTTTGCATGTGGGCATCGCGACCTGAACAGTCGGGAGCAAACAATATTCCAACTGGCTCCATGTCAAAATAGTAAGGGCGCTAGTTGGCATCTCCATATTCTACTGCCATCGATCGAGTGCAGGTGTTCCTCCCTTCCCATCCTGCACATCCAGCCTCCGCCATTAAAAGACTACTGCTCTGTGCGGACAAAGCCAGCCCCGCCCCGCCCCGCCCCGAGCTCAGTGATCCATAATCGGACCTGTGGATCGCTGGAAATTAGCATCAGAGCTCCGTCTGTCGCTTGCGGAGAAATGCAAAAACAATTGCTCCCTCCAAAAACAATTGTGGTCTCATGGAGGCGACACATCGTCCAGCAAGGAATCAGTCCCCGAGCTCGGATACAGTTTCCTCGAGTCAGCGGTTGACTTCACTGCGAAATGGACTCGGTGCCCTTCTTGTACAATCGATGGCTTGCACTCCTTCCCAGGCATCCCGAAAGGGTCGCTGTGCACTGGACTACAGTTTCCTCCACGTGACCGCGAGGTCGACCACTCAGCTCTCGGGAAAGCGCCCTCGTTGCCTGCTTATCCTGCTCCAGCCGCTTCGATCTCCGCCATCGTGATCAGCAGTTGCCACATCTGCGATCTTGTGCTTGTGCTTGCCCTCGGCTTCTTTCCCGGGTCCGTGGGAATTTTATGCTCCTCGTGTGGACAGCCGAGCAGTGACATATCAGAGCTTCTTCAAAACCAGCTCTAGCGAGTAGTTCCGGAGCCCGCTCGAGCATGGATTTTCTGAGCTGAGCTGCTCAGCATCTTGTCGATCTCTTGCATCCAGCTGATTCGCGAGTGCAGCATCTGAAGATTTCCATTGCCCTTCGCCCATTCGGGTGGGCGATCTCAGCTTCGCCAACTGGCAAGGACACGGCTCGGATCTGCTGAAATGATTTTGACCGAAGAGTCTGAGTACCAGACCTGCTCGCTTTGCTCTAAGTGCAAAATTCAGACGATAAAGAAGTAGTCGCACCACAGAGACTGAAGCGAATTTGTGACAAATTGGAGACAAGTGCATCACGTGTCTCACAGTCGAATGTGAAGAGGAATTTTCCCGAGAGAAAAGGAAGATTGCTCTCAGGTTATACGTTTCTGAACAGAGGTTCACGAACTCTCTCGAGACGAGTCGTGAGCTAGAGTTCGAATCAGGCAGACAGAGGGGCCATTCATTATGGTTTAAAAGCTCTTTGGATACTCATCTGCCTTTTTCGTAGATTTTAGACCGCACTGAATGCTCAATTTTGAGGAAGACCACAATTCTTGCTGTTTGTGTGAATCGAGATTAGTCTGTGGTCCATTTGAGGGAAGCTAACATTCACATCGAAAAACATGCCATGTCGGCTTTCACACCTTTGAATCTTCATGTTCATAGAATCTGACAATCCTTTATGTATTTCCACAAATGTGAAAGTTGCGAGAATAAAGGAAAAGCTATTGCATAAACTGTACCTTGCGAAGGAGACACAAGATAAAAGTCTAGAACTCAAAGATGGTACAGACGGATTGAGTACAGATAAAATAATGAACTAGGCATATCACTCGTTCTTACTGGTTCGTCTATTTAGGTGAGCATATGTGCCCGGTGGCGTTAACCCGGGTTCTCGACGTAACCTGGGTGTGCCACTTTTGCCGTAGCTCTTCGAACAAAGGTTTGTTTCGGAAGAAAAATGCTTACATCGCTACCTTTTAATAATATCTATCCGCCTATTCAATTTCGGAGCAATCTCTGATGAGCATGTTTTTCTGCATTGCGGGGGGATACTTAACTACCCTTCTTGATTAATAATGTCAAAATGTACGGTTGGTTGGAGCCCATGACCACATTCTTCTTCGGTCGACCCACTTTCTTATGCACCCGGTTGGCCAATCGACTGAACTTCTTCTTCGCTTTCTGGGCGTGGGTGTCACTGCCAGCCTCTTGCTCATCGGATTCCTGTAGGTCCAGCGGGATGGATGGAAAATACGGCAAGTGTTTCGCCGCAATAAAAAATACTTCTTTGCCGGTGATCGAAGCTTCTTGACGCTTAGTTTGATCAGCGGCGTTTTGGGTAGCTTGAGGGTGTTCATGGGAACTTCTTCGAACCATTTGATGTCAGCATTCCACAACTCGGTGAGTAACTCGCTACGAATCGGATCGATGTTGTCGATGTTGATTAGCGGGATCGTGACCGCTTCGGAATCGGGCGTGTTCACGAGATGGCGCATCGTGCAGACTCCCTGATCGATCTCAAAGAAATACGAACGTGTATACCCCGACGTCATTTTTTCAAAGTACTTTGAAAGCAATAGCTCCCAACCGCAGTAGAATGGGCGGTTCCGGTCTTCATGATTGAGTAATTCCGCAGCGATGTACTGCACCCCGTTCTATTGTTCGATTATGTTCATCGGATGTTCTCATTCTGAATTGCATTTCGGAAATGGGCAACCACAAGATCGACCGCATTGTGGGAATGTCCCGACAGTAGGAACACGATTACAAACTTCTCGTACACGAACAGCAACAACATGGCGAAGAACTACATGATTCCCTGCGACTTGTTCTTGCCAATGCGATTGTCGAGGATCATGAACAAGATCTTTGGCGCAAACGGCTTCTTGGCAATCTTCAGATGGTGACCTAGCCGCAGACTGCACAGGGCATCGACGCCTTTGTCATGCCCTCGCTCGTCATACAACAGTACATGATTAACTCCATTCGAGAGGTCAGCGATAACAAAGTTTTGCATCATGAGGTTGGATTGGAAGTAGTCCACAGACCGGCGCTCTGAACCCTAAATAGGGAGCGCAAAACTTCCTCCATAGTATTCAATCTCAATTTGAATTTTAACGTCAACGTTGACCACGTTGGAAGCGATGTTGTTGTTTGGACTACCACAAAGATCATAGACGCATGTGGAGAAAGAGTGATCATCGAGTCCTCAATGATGATCCGCGATAGCGGTTGTTCCGATGCTTGCTTCCCTGCAAACTTACTGGTGAATTCTGAAATCAATCACCGTTGTGCAATCTCCAGGAGCAGTTTAGCACGCTGTTCAGAAGAGAGATTGACTTGTTGCAGCTCGATATCGATATGGACACACGCATCGTAGAAGTCTTGCATGCTACAGCTGAGTCGAAGCCCGGGATATAGAAAGCGTATGTACTACTTCCACCGAGACAGCGACAACACCCGGACGCCGGCCGCGTTCTGAACCTAGACGTAATCCGCGTGGATTGACAACCACATTAAGCCTTCCTTGATAAAATACTGCGGTGGTCGCCGGTGCAAGCATGGGAAGCCATCCTCCAACTCAAACGTTTGGGCGTGATCCTTGATAGCGTCAAGCTTAGTAGAAGTGACTGCGTGCTTAGGAGTGGGGGCAATGTGTCTCGTCGCATGTTGGTCAGAGACCGTGGCATCTTGGAAGGCTTTCTGGAGACGACTTACCCGATATCCTCCTACTTCCAACATTGTGGGGATCTCTATCTGGGAAACGCCAAGTTTGATTGGCGCAATGATGATCCCATCCCATCCCATCAAAGGTGCAATCAGCGTGCTCTCGAGCATTCAAAGATTTGCAGCTCGCGAGCAATTGAGCCATCTCCTCTCCCCCGAGTTTAATTTCAAAGAGGCTCCTCGCGTTGACCGCGCGATCGCACCTTCAACTCTTATTCCAATGCACGATGGTTTGGGATGATCCACCAACGCCACTAGAGCGGCGCGTTAACGTCATCAATGATGCAATAGGTGCTCATCCTGGTCGCAATAGACTGAGCAGGCGCCGGGGTTGGAACGCGCGGGATTGGAGTAGGTGAGGACGGAACGGGAGCGCTGCTGGAAGAAGAGGGTCCAGACGGGTTAGATGGCGACTCCTGTGGGTGAGGGATGGTGAAGGAGCGACGCTGAATCTTCTATAACAGGCTATCGCACCAGTTTGACGCAATGAAAGAGTTGGGGAACGTTTCCATGAACGCAAAGATCTCGTCCAATGCATGGTTCAGCACGCAGTCGGACTTCCAAGCGAGGTCGCCCTCTGCTCGATGTCCAATCAAAGAATGCATGCGATTTTTTAAGCTCGTGCGATCGCTTGGACATGGCAGGAACAAACAGATGTTGGATCAGCCGCGCAATACTTTCAGCAAAAAAGTGCCTCCACTGAGAATAAATTAAGTAATTCACTTAGGAGCTTTAAAACATTCCACAACCCGGTTACCGCCACTGGAATCATATATTGGCAAACTTGACTTTTTGATATTGAATCTATCAAATAATTAAGATCTTTGAAGATACGATCAGAACTATTTATTGCACAGAAATATCTCACTCAAGAACTTTAGGATATTATATTTAATCTTAATAGTCGAGGCTAGGACCTCTTTTGATGGAGTCTAACCATTAGTGTTTAAATCTATATGTTTCCCCTTATTTTAAATTGAAACTTTATAGATTATTTTGCAAATTTTTTGACATGATATAAAAAGTTCACAAGAGTCATTTAGTTTGCATGTTTATAACTTGGCAAAATTGGTTTGTAGATCATATCATCTACACACAGATTTATATCTCAACGTTGCAACGAACATCATTCAAGCGTATAATGTACAAACAAAATATTTTAAATTTGTATATGTCAATAGTTTTATAAATTCCAATTATTTTTAGATAAAGCTCTTATATAGAGAAAAAAATAGTTATGTGATTATGGAAAAGTTGTTTCAAGATTCAAAACATAATAGTAAAAATATTGGATATTTTTTAATCACATAATAGTATTGGATGTTTTTTATGTTTCAAATGAAAATATACAAATTGAAAACATACTCATGACATGTCAAACCTTCTTTTATGATGATAAATTATTTATCAGGTATATTTAATTCTATACTAGAATTTTTCTCTGCAAAGATTTATAGGAATTTAGAATTATCAACATTATATAAATATTATATAATTTTGATACTTATAATTTTTATATATGAATTTCTATATGAAACCATTATGAACTTCTAGATAATTACTCTTATATGAATTTCACATCATGATTAATTTTCTATGTCAATTGACAATCTAAATTCAATTCATTTTTCATTACTGTGGACTTCAAGTATATATGATAATCTTCTTAAAAAAATTATTTCAGTCTCCATCTTATATATTGTATATTGATGCTATCAGTTTCAAGTTGATCAGATATTTAGCCATAGCAATTACTTCTACAAAGACTCCACATATATTGCATTATCCATTAAAAGGATTAGCCATAGCAATTGCTTCTACAGGCAAAAATTTAATTGAATTTAAAAATGATATATATAGATACATATTATTTACACTCTCTATAATATTGTAGATACACTTCTATGATAAAATGTAAATACAAGATGATACTTACCGTTCAGTAGTAAAAATGCTCACGAAAGGTGTTTGTATTGCTATAATCAGTGCAAATTACTCACATAGTACTCTACATGGCTACTTCGATCCATCTTCAATCTTGTACTCAAAACATTGACAATAGCAAGCATGAAGACAAATGCCATGTATGAGGGTAAATATCTTCTTTGTGCAATGAGAAAAATGTAGAACATACAGGTGCCAACGCCTGCATGTTCAAAGACTTACCCGCGGTGCAATAGCATTCGCTTCAACATTACATTCGGTCACACGTGAGATGGTCGCATTGATTATCAAATATAGCAACCACCTCAATTGCAGGTGCGGCTTTTGTGGGCACTTTAGTGAGCCAAAACAGTAAGAGGAACTACACTTGACTGGAGCCAATACGTTCTCAGCACTTTTTGCTCCCACCTCACTAAAAAGTCGAAGATTACCATCATCTGACGACGAACAAAAGCTTCTTTTTATATTTCACGGTAGATTTGATTACTACATGATTGGGCCGATAATTAGTCGGTTCGGAGAGAAAAACTTGGTAGGTAACGAGTGCAAGTCAGAGAGTTATAGATGTACGTGAATAGCTTGATCAACCCACTGCAGTGAACGTGACAAAGTTTCACTATGCTTTGCTTCTCCTCGTTGACCTATTTTCGATTGCGAATGAATTGACAGACATAAAAGATATTTACCATTTTCCAATCTGATAGAGTATCAGTACAACCTTATTTGATCTGCCAGTGGCGTTGATGTTTGCACGGTACGTAGTGTAATCAAATATATGGGGAAGGAAAGAACAGAATCCAAGATCTGACACGATCAAATGTGGCAATCGTGAATACAACAATGTAGCTAAACCACACAGACAAAGAGTAATGACGTATCACGAAAGAAATGCAAATATAATTGTAAGTGCTAATGAGAAGTGCTCGCGAATACTTTCACTGTGGATGTAACGGGCCATGACCATGATTCTGTAGGTAGAATGAATGTAGACAAATCTGGAATCTAGTCAGACATCATGTACTAGTAGCATGATAGAATGAACTTTTCCCTCAAAAGGGTATATTAAATTCTGGACGGGATGGGAGAGCTCTTTTGACTCCAGTTCCTTTGTCCGGATGATGATAACGGATATTCGATGAAGTTCTTATCCAGATTCACACACTGCCACTATTTGAGGTCGGATGGATCAGGGGGATAAATCCATAGTCGTCATCACAGTAGGCACTGTGGCTACAAAGACAGTGAGACGCCATTCATTTACGCACAAAAGCGATGAAATTGAGACAATAAAGACAGGAGATGTCAACATCTACAAATCTGGACCATTCTCGGGCTATGGAAATTACCTCGCTGGATCTATTCTATAGCTCCAGAGGAATTGAATTTGTTGACGTTTGACGAGGGCACAGCTCCTGTTCAGATATATGAACCTTAACCTCATCCCCACTCATATTAGTTGCACTACTCACGCACTAAAATCTGGTTAGAAGAAGTGAGGAGAAGAACTTAGTTGCAACGACATCTTCTCGATATTCTTTGCGTTCTTTCCGAGGACCGGAATTGTCATAGGCAATAGGAGTCTGACCATCTGCTTTGTTGGCTAAGTTCTAGACTCACCTGAAAAGCACCTCAGATACATTCAGTTGTATAAACATAAGATATTTGTTCGACAAAGGCAGAAATCAATTGTCGTTTGGACCACACGAATTGAATTGTGCTGAAAGATCCGTGCCAGCTTTGCGCTTTCAAGATTAACATTGTGGCACATTAATATTGCTTTAGGGATAAAGCAATATTTTTAATTCCGAATCGATATGAAGGAAACAGTACTGAAATAACCGAGGATGGACACGTGGGCTCACTACAATTGTTGTAGGTTGGTTAAATTTTTTTCTCCGCAGTTCATTACTACTTGGTCTCGTAAGCCATGTTCTTACTGAAATTCGAGTATTCATAACCTGATTCTTCTTTGCTACAAGGTCTTAACTCAACAACAGCGACAGTAAAAGTAAATATTTGGGCTACCGTACAACTCATACTACTACAAACATGGGCGGGTCCCCCATGGCTCTGCTATCGTCACGACAGACGACAATAACTACCGTCAGTAATTAAAGTCACAGTGACCCCTATAATGCACAGGAACGTGAAGGTTGCAGACGTCAGAGGCTTAAATCACACAGTGCGCTGTCATGTGCGACAGATTCCTTGGTATCTTCGATGATCTCCATCCTTGGAAAGTGATTTATGACGCTATGTTATAGCTATCTACAGACAGATTACGCTCACTCATTGCCGACTTAGAAATGAAACAATCGTGATGAAAATACTTTGCGGATCATACGAGGATTGAAGTCTCATCTTCGGAAACAAGACAAGCACGTGCACATCTTTCTGATAAAATGTTGTTTTCTCCTGATGCGCCCATATTTATTGATTCCATGAAAATAAAGCCCGTCTACACCCCATCAGACTAACAAGGTCACTAACGCTTTCAAGGATACATCCTCAATCCTGCAGAGACTTAAAGTGCAGCAAGAGATTGCATCATATCGTTGTGAATATCCTCGTAGTCTTCAATACCACAGCTGAATCGCACTAGGTTGTCTTTGATACCCAGTTTGGCTCTTTGTGCTGCAGTCTGATCCCTGTTACACAGAAAGGGTGATGAAAAAGTAAAAAAGTCAGTCCGACTTACATTCACACGAAATGAGATGAACAGACTAAAACCCACCACAGCAACCCACAAAACGAAGGCACTCCAGGAGCATCAATCATTCTTCGGTTTCAATAATGAAAACCCACCAATAAGAAATGATGGTGGGCTGTTCAACCAGGCTTTCACAGCCACCCAGGGAGGGTGCAATGTAGGGAATTTTCAGTCCATCAATAAACTTTGAGGCCTCATCCAAACCTCCAGCAATCTGTAAAAGCAATAAGAGACACCAGACACCATCAAATAGGTATTTGTGTACCATCGATCTGGGAAAAACTTGTTAAACAAACAAAGACGACATTATGCCATCAAAACCTTCATGGTTTCTGAGAAAAAGGCAAGGCCATATTCTGAAAGTAGATATTTTTGAGATTTCACATCGACATCAGCTCTGAGTTCAATGCAAAGTCTCATGTACAAGCTCGGGAGAAATTCCGTCTCATACTAACATATTCATGTCTTCTTCACGATGATTACCATTGCCCAGACTCACACCAGCGTATCCGAAGATAAACCACATAGAGACTCCGGTGTCAGAAAAAGAATATGCGCGTTGCTGAAACATTTTACAGCCTCATGCCCGTACTTACCTCGAAACTAATGACGCCGCCGAAGCCACTCATTTGGCGCTTGGCAATATGATGTTCCGGGTGGCTCTCCAAACCAGGATAATGTACACGCAGGACCTTCACAATGTGTGAATTCGAAGAAGGGCTTTTAGAAATTTCCACAAGTCGTTAACAAACCAGGTACACCAGAAATCCCGAATATGGTGAAAGTGCTTTGACTACCTTGTAAATAAAAAATCTTAGACCAAGAGAACCATAAGCTGAACCAACCTTGGGATGGGCCTCTAAAGCTTGAGCCAGTTTCAAAGCAGAAATGTTCTGCTGACGCACACGAAGCTCGAGGGTCTTCATGCCCCGCAAAATCAGGTATGCTGAGTTCTAACACACATTCAAGATATAACGACTCAATTATTAGTCTTAATACCGTGCAGATTGTCCAAAGAACACATGTGGCAAACCGACTACGCCCCGAAGGACACTGGATTTTTTACGTTGAGTTTCAGAAAAAGCTCAGGCAGCATATAGACTCACCGGATCTAGCACGCCTCCTAAAATGTGATGTAAAGCTCGAATTGGCGCAATACACTCCTTTGACCCACTAACACTCCCAGCCAGTACCTGTCCGTACGGAAAAGTATTAATAGAAATGTCATGGTAGTTTCGTCATGTTCACTTCTAGAGCGATGGAAGCCCAGATTCTTCACAACATGTGTGTAACATCCCTCACAAAGCTCCACATGTATCGGGATGTACTCACATCGTTGTGACCTGCAAGATACTTTGTTGCAGAGTGCAAGACGATGTCTGCCCCCAGGGCCAATGCCTTCTGATTCACTGGAGTTGCAAAAGTGCCATCGATGCAGACTAATGTGCCTTTGCTGTGGCACAGCTTCGAAACAAGCTCAATATCTATACACCGCAAATATGGGTTTGTTGGAGACTCTGAAAAAAATAATGACACCTGACACCAACAGGTATAAAAACTGATTACGTCTCAATTCATTAAGTCGTGAACGACGTAGCCACGGGCTTGAATGATAAGAGAACATTCTGGCTTCGACACAGAAATTTCGTGCACATTCAGGACTCCAAGCTACAGAATCACCGTCGAAAACGAAAGAATAGTAAAAGCTCAAGAAGGAAACAAGTTGTAGCACTTCAAATAAATGAGTTCGAACGCCTGAAGAATGGATCTGCGTTGATTTGCACTTACAGTATGCTGATCTAACGCCCTTTCAAGGGAGGCGATGTCTGAAGGATCGATAACGGTAGTCTACATTACAATGAACAGCCAGTATTGAGTATTTCGGACTCAGACTGCGTTAGTCCAAAATGTGAACGCTTTACATGACTCGAAAATCATATTTTGTTCCTGACATGTGAGTCATCAGCTTCACATTGAAAGATAGATTTATAATGTAAATGTTGCAATTTACTTCATTTAAAACGCAGTAAGTTAAAACTTTTCTTTACAATGATCGCAACGAGTTGAAGAAACCGATAGGGAAAAACAAATCATGTACGTGGAGGGTGGATGAAGCGAGTACCGTAATTCCCATCTTGGGCAAAACTGTTTGAATAAACTGTCGGGTACGACGGTAGCAATCGGTAGTGGTGACAATATGTCCGCCTGCAGGCACTAAGGCCAGCAACATTGTTGTGGCGGCACACATTCCAGATGCCGAAAGCAGAGTGGTCTCCGCTCCTTCAAGTTCACTGCTCGAACACATCACAGCGCTCAGAAGAGCAACAAATCTCTTCAGCAATTATCCTAGCCAAAACACCTAATGAAACAAAAACAAGGATGATTTCAAAGACTCGTGCACTTAAGCCAACGTGTAGCTCTACCTGATTTTTGATTCTGCAGCGAATGTGGTGGGATTACCATATCGACCATACTCAAAGCTGGTGTGACTCCCTTCCTGCCAATAGTTACTGACGTGTATAAGAAAGACAACACTTTCGGTAACAAGAACCGAATTATGGTCCAGACAGTGTCCCACCCGAAATGCGTTGTCTCACCCTGTGAATCTTGGGCGACAGGGTCACAATGTGTAAAATCCTCGATTACTGCAAAGCACCAAGCAGGGAAGCAATACACGATGGAGCCAAAAGGGACCCAATTTCAAAAACGTCAGCGGTCAGGCAGGGGGAACACGATTGAGCGAAAGTATTGTTATTCACCTGGAATGATATCAATTCCGCCGTATTCCTAAAAAAATAGGTGGAAGTTTGAACAATCGGAGTGGTCAACGCATCAGACACTTTCGGACGTCCATTCCTTTCACCTGCATATTAAAATTGTGTAAGAACCTACTGACCACTCGGTAAAGCGATACTAATGCCCACGAGCTGTCGATACTTTGCACCGCTAGGACGCTTTCGAGAAAACTGGCACAGCAGCACCAAAATGCGGATAATGCATGTACGCTTCTCGATGATCTCGCACCGACGCTTTCAGAAAAATGTCGCAAGATGGAATCAAAACTGAGAGGATCACCAGACATTATGTAGAGCAACTAAAAGAAATTCTCCTCAAGAAGGGCACCAAGCGAATTCCCGATGGAAACAGTAGCTCTGAGGAACGTGGCCACTTACCACCATGGACAGATGTAGTGCTACAAGATCTAGGCTTCTCAGAGAGGCGAGTGGCGGAACTGTTAACACCATTAACGACAGCGGTGCTAGACAGAGCCGCTCCGGCTTCAAAGAGAGGCTTCTCCAAGTCCGCGGAAGCTGGTGCAACCACATTCTCAGAGGAAACGGCAGGAAGATCCGTAGCAGAGGCCGCTACGACCTGTGCAACACCGATGTTGCCACAGTTGCGGCGCGCTTTAATGCTCAGTTGCCTGACGAAGTTGGGAGGAAACCGAAGAATGAACGGTGGCGAATCGCAAGCCAGGCTCCGATTCAGCTTCGAGCTCTGAGTCGAGCTCTTGCCCGGCGCAGAATCGTCCCCGCACGATGCTCGGCAGAAGGGTTTCTGAGCTGAGGCTCGCGACGACGTTCCTGCGGGGTCCGGGCGGCAATCGAATGCCACCCCGTACCCCATCGGCCCCCCCGCTCTCAGCGTGCTGCTCATCGCTGCCATAATTCCTGCCCCTCCTCCTCCTCCTCTCCTGCTCTCCTTCTTCTTCTTCTTCTTCGAACTCCCTCCTCTCGAATCCTCTGCTCCGCTCTCGTGCCTCGAGCCTCGTCCCTCGTCCCTCGTCGCGAGCGAGAGCCCTGTTTGCAACCCCGCGGCCCCGAGCTCCGGCTTCCAACCAACCACCCTACGGACTGCGCAGGGCGGAGCGTTTTCTAGCAGCGGGGCAACGGGCAGAGGCGCGCCAGACGACGGGTTCGTCTCGCTCGGTACAGCCCCACCGCCCGCGCACACGAGCCCGCTTCTTGCTAACCACGCATCCCCCCGCACTGCCTCCTCGGACCCGAGCCATATATATCCCCGCCGGGCTCTTCCACGTCGAGATGTTCCTCTCTTCCCTCTCCGACGAGCCTTCGTCGCAGAGATCTTTCGCTTCGTGCATCTGAGCCGCTCGATCACTTCCTCCACCATCGCCATTGGCTCGAACGCCGTCGAAATTCCCCGGGAACTCTTCCCTGCGCTTCCCCCAGTTCCGCCCCCGCCTGTCCCCGCGCGGAACACCCCGCTCTCGGCTCTCGGCTCGTACTCTGTCCTCGGAAAGGACGAGACAGTGGTCTCGGCAACTGGCTGGCCCGACGAGCATTTACGACGGACAGAGCATCTTTGACAGACATCCGGTGTCTGCAAAGATTCCGCTGGTTCCTCTGCGCTCCGTCTGCGGCTACTGCCGCTGCTGCTGCTGCAGCTTTGACTGCACATCCGTTTTTGTTCCTGGGCTCGTCACCGTTCGTTCGTTCGGAGCTGATCCTTTAGACGGTCCTGACCCTTCTCGCTGCAATTGGTTCACGGCTCAGAGCCGTCTTATCGTTAGAATGGAAGGTTCCATTCATTCATCTCGCCTCGTTCGCACTCCGCATTCGAGGTTCCCTTCCTTTCTTCTCTTGTCGAATGTGCGCGTACTGTACTGTAGTGTACCAGAAAGACTACATTTAGCGCATTGGTGTGCTTTGAGAGTTCAGAATGTGACAGTGGTCCCTATTGCAAATCCCAAAAGTGGGTCTGCCAAGACGACCTTAGGATCGTCGTATGGACATGTGAATATACAATCCGGCTGTGCGGACATTTTTTTAAATTTTTTAAGTGCACTACTTTTGACTCATGCATGGTGTGTTCCACATTGCCAAAGCTAGATAGATACCTGATAACCATGTGTTGCACTAAAGAATCGAAAAAAGGCTATATGTGACCTCAAAGAACCACAACTTTAAAACCTGAAAATGCTACTCGCTCAACAAGTGTTTGATATTTGATAAAGCTAGATATTCAAAACATTGTGTCTCGCAAAAGAGTCAAAAATGAATGCCAGAAGTGACAAGTTTGGATAGATTAGAACACCGCGACATACAGAAGAGTCAAAAGGTCCAGACGCTAGAGGGTGCAACTAGCAGATGCAAACAAAATAGGCTTAGATAGAAAGACTGCAACCTTTTTTAGAACCTATGTCCAAAATCTCTCCAAATGTGATATGGACATCATTCAAGGCGCTAGCAACCACAAGCATACACAATCAGCCGCCGTGTCATGTTTTCAGACAGTTGCATCCATGCACATGCGGAACATATGTTCGACAATTCTTGTGTAATTATTGGGAGCAAAGAAGAAGATTACACACATTTATATCTAATCTGCAATATAGCTGTAATCTTCTACCCTTGAAGAAGTTTTGACAGATTTTGCTCTATACTCTGTACTATCTTCTATCAGGTTTTTCTTGGATGTGCAATGTGTTGTTGAAAAATAAATATCACAACGTATGTTCTATATAACTTAGTAGGTAGATACTCGTGTGCATATGAGACAGGTCATAAAGAGCAATTTGTGCTGTAGGAGACCTTCGCACTTCACTTGCCGTTAAGTTCCATAACGTTGCTAGAACTCCTAGGTCTCATGGGATAGACTCTGAATTAGCAGTTTAGAGTTGAAGTTGAGTCTTAGAGAATGATGGTGGAAATTAACAAGTGTATGACCCTTGAGTCTGAATCACAAAGTCAGTTTGGCTCCACTCTGACCTGATCTATTATATTATGATTTATGTCTCAAGTTTAAAAGAAATTTAAACTTGAGTTGGTGTATGACAGTAAGTGTAATGTGATCATTTATGTAATTGCAATGTATATTGTGTTGTGATGTATATGTGCACAAACCTCTTTCATAATAAAAAATTAAAATGAAAATTAATTGGCACTTTTATGAATGATTTCATTATTCAAAAATTTGAGTTTTCAAATTTGATTTTTAAGCTACGGTATAATGAAGTCAGAATAGATGTAAAACACTGCCTAGTTCTTAATTTTAGGAGATAAAAATATTTATCCTTAAATAACTTACATAATATAAACTTATGTGTACTTGCAATAATTCATGTTTTTGATGATGACTTGATTTTTATACAGCAATTGGTGCTTAAATCTATGAAGAAGAAAAATATTTCAAATATAAGTGAAAATGTTTTAAGAAACGCGGTTACATAGTAAAAATATGAAAATATTTTTGTACTGTAATTTTAATTTTGAGTTTTTTAAAAGAAATAAAATTTAACAAGTTCATATAATGATATGAAAGTAAACATGTAAATTTAAAATTGAACAAAAAATGGATAAAAAAATTTCATATTTTTTAAAAAAACTTTGTGAATACAAATAATCTCGATAAATTATAATTTCTAATAAAATCGTTGGGAAAGTTGATTTACCTGCATTTAAATTGAAAATTCTTTTCAATCTAAAATCAATTCATATTTGATCATAAAACAATCAGACAATATGAAATATGAATAAATAAAAATAGAAATAACGCAATTTTTCCACATTAAATCTATATAATTTAAAATTTTAATATTATAATAATCATAATTTAAAAATTTTAAGATTTTTCTTTTAGAAAAAAAAGTAAAATAATAATCAAAAGAGATGATTTCATTTTGATGTGATATTATCAGATTTATCATTTAATTGGATTATAACGGTTCATAGCAAAAAGTTCTTTTTCTTTTGAAAAACCATAATTTGATTTGAAACATATACAATTTTTTTTAAAAAAAATTATTTTTTGAAATAAGATTTTAAAAGAATTAAGTACTTGAATTTGATGATTTATATGATTTCTTTATTTTTTTAAATAATAATATTTTTATATAGAAAATATTAAACCATTTAAAACTTTCAAGTCAATGGATATTTTTTTAATTATCCAAAGGATTTTTCATAGATTTTATGAATATTTTATATTTTATAATATTTTCTGATTAGATTAATTTAAAAATTATATAAATAATTCATATGATAAATGCTGATTATTCCTAACATAATTGTTTCAACCAAAATGATTGTGTTAACATTGTGAATAGATAAAAATTTCAAACATATATGACTTTTGATAGTTTAAAATGCTTTAAAAATTTGAATCTTGTACACTATAAAATAAAAATTTAATAAAAAATTCAAAACATGGATATTCAAGAAAGACCATGCAAATAAAATGTTATGTGATTTTTTATTATTAATGATTTCAATTGTTATTTTTATTCCAACTAAATTTATAATTATATATATCAAATATTGAAATAAATTTATGTATAAAATTTAGAATTTCAATGATTTTTTTTTGTAATTTTTTTTGGATGCAAAACTTAAATTAATATTATTAGTTCATTCAAAGTTTGGACTCATATTATTAATTGGATTTGATCAATTAATGTCATAAAAACATCTCTAAAAAGTAACATGTGCCAAAAGAAATATGTTAATGTTGAAATATGTGCAATATTTATGTCTTTTATTTATTTAAATTTTTTCTTGAGGTGTAATTTTTTTTTATATTTTAGACAAATTACTATTACTTTTTATATTTATTTCCTCGAAGATGTGACCTATTTGTATAAGCAGAATCCTGGTTCTTTGCATTCATTTTGATTCACATCTCTTGTCTTGCCATGCTTTGAGTTCAAGCAAGCTCATGCGCCCACTTTGCACAATCTTACTGCGTTTGTTATATATCAATCTTACTGAAAATGAATATTGATCAAGAATATTGAGGTTTGTTTATATCATAATGGCAATTTTTTCTTAAGTATGCATTACTTAAAGTAATTATTTAACAACAGTTTTTTAAATTACCTAAATTTTATTTATATCAAACATTTACCAACTTGAAACAACAAGATAAATATATAACAAATGCAGTAAGATTGTGCAAAGTGGGCGCAGTAGCTTGCTTGAACTCAAGGCAGGGCAAGACAAGAGATCTGAATCAAAATGAACGCAAAGAACCAACTTGAAAAATTGGCTAATTTTTTTTATTTACAATTCAATTTTCTAACTCAAAATTAGTAATATTTAATAGTAAATCCATACATCTTAGATTAAAGTTTAAAATTGTTATTTTGTTTTAAATAAAACAAAAAATTTTGTAAAAATTAAACATTTAAAAATTTATTAATATAAATTAAGAGCAAAATTTTTAAATTTTAAATTTTTTCAAAAATTTTAAAATACATAATTTAAAAAAAATTATTGTATGAATTTAATGTACAATAAAATTGGTTTTGAATTATAAAAATTTTAGAAAATCTGGTTTTAATATCAGTATTATTTTGATATCAGTAATTCATGAAACACATTCAAACTAAATTTTAAGTTTGATTGTTCTACAATTCTACGTCTTTATGAATAACTTTTCAATGCAATTTAATATGACAAAGAAATTTTGAAACTATATATTTTAGTAAAATATATATGATCATCTTGATCATCTTCATTAGTTTATATATTGTTCATATTGATGTTAACACAATTTTTTAAAATTTTGAAATTCAATCAAATTATTTCAATTTCATAAAAAATTAAAGATATTATGAAAATTTTTTATTAATATTTTTTTACTTAAAATTAAATATAACTATATTAATTCAGTCTATGCACTCATCACTTTGTTTTTTAAGTCAAAAATATGAATATCATGAATATATTCAAATTTATATGAATATCTTGCTATGAAAAAATTGATTATATATAGAAATTTTTTTATTAATCAAATCATATTTACAGTTTTCTGTGTATGATCATTCTTTCAAATTATAAAATTTTCTAAAATTATTGATTTTTTTGTCTTGCAAATAATTATGGTAGAGTTAAATCTATATAAAAAGCAAAAATCATGAGCCATTAGCTCTATGCAGTTTTACTTAATGAAATATTGATGATTATTGGTATGGGAATAGCTAGTCATGAAATTTTATATTTAGATTTATAAAAAAATCGATTAAATTTTATATGCATATTAAATATTTTGAACATTAAGATATTTGTTTACATGATTGAAGATAATTTTATATATTTTTAAAAAATTTCAATACAAAGTTAAATATTGGGGAAAATATCAAAACTCATATTTTTTTAATTTTTAATTATGAAAATTTTTTCTAATTTTTTATTTAAATTTAGGTTAATTTTATTATGTCTATATTTATGATACACTTTTTTTCATTTTATTTTTAGGCGTACAAGATTACAAAAAATCCAACTATATTTGTTAAATCAACTAGTTGAGCATACTTTTACATGGGATAAAATAAATTTATAATATATATTCTTAGAGATTATCTATAATTTAGATGAATATATTATTGTAAATTTTATTTATCAATTTTATACATTTTTTTTAATGACAAATGAAATAAATAATATTTGGACATGTTTTATATAAGAGAATACTCTCAACTTAAACAAAACAGACCTACAGATGATTTGTATGTCAACATCGTTGTTTTAGAAGAAATACAGAAAGATTTACAGCCCATTGTACAAATATTTAATCAAAAATATCTAGAAAACTTATTTTTTTTATAAAAATTATAATATTCAGGTTTATAGAGGTGCTCTAATCAATCCTTTTATCACAAATATTAATAAAATAATAACTTTTAGCTTTGTGAAGAAAATGTAAACTTGTAAAGCTTTTTGAATATTTATGAAATTAATGTCTACTTTGCTTAAGATTTATTGAAAATAGGATACAGAAAAGAAGCATGAAATAAAGGTTTGGAGATTCAAGAACGACTTAACTAAACCTTTGAAGAGGAGTTAATACTAATTTCTTTTCATCTTCTATTCATAATCTTACGAGGATACGGTTCTTCAATTTATATTTTCAAAGATTTTCATTTTATGTACAGATACAGACCATATAGTTTACCTGTCCGCTGGAAATAGATTTTGTGACTTGTCTTTCATCTTCTAATTTTTGCTGCATTTTCTGATGTTGGTTTATACAACGAGATCTTCTTACACAAATATATTTCTACCGCTTTTGTCAATCATATCAGTGCATGACTATTTGGGCTTAGCAGATATCACGATTCTCTTCTTGCAGCACGATCTCGACTTCCTTTTCCTTCCTTCATGGCTCCCATATATTTCCTGTTCTTTCCTGGGTATGTAAAGTGAGATATCCACGATCACAAACCGCTTCTAATAAATCTAAGCATCGACCATGAGACCGACAAACGAGCTCGACAATCGGGTGCAAACCAGGAGCACACTCCTGCAATGATGTTGTCAAGCTTATATGTGTACAAAATTACAAGTCCTTTAAAGTGCTTTTCAGAGGTTGAGACGGACCGAATCTCGTATAAAACTCTGCTATGCACCAAGCCAAATCTTAAGCACCTCACATTCTCCAGTGTCTAGCAAGCGCACGGCAACGAGGCAGTGCGCAATACTACCCAAAATTATCGAGTCCTTCGTAAATCCTTGAGTGAGGATCTATAGTGAAAATCCGTAGTAAGCACAAATCGGGGACAGAGCGCCCGGACGATCGATGAAAGCTCGAGATACACTAACCTGGAGTGACGACTTCACAGCCTCGCCACCGTCTGTCCAATACCCACGTCTGCTGATGAGGAGCCAGCAGCATACGCTTACGGAGAGACGGACATGGTCGGGCTCGGTACAGGCCGGCACAGATCGGTGCAATCTCTTGAGCAAAGGTTCACTTCTTCTTGGCAGCGGCCTTGGTGACCTTGGCTCCGGTTGGATCCTTCTTCTCGACAGCCTTGATTACTCCGACGGCCACCGTTTGCCTCATGTCGCGGACGGCAAATCGACCCAGAGGTGGATACTCGGCGAAGGTCTCGACGGTCATGGGCTTGGTTGGAATCATCTTCACAAATGCAGCATCTCCATTCTTCACAAACTTGGGCTCCTTCTCGATCTCCTTGCCCGATCGCCGATCGACCTTGGTCATGATATCGGAGAACTTCACAGCAATGTGGGAGGTGTGGCAATCCAACACTGGAGCGTACCCATTGGAGATTTGGCCGGGGTGGTTCATGATGATGACCTGCGAGGTGAAGTTCGCTGCTTCCTTCGCCGGGTCATTCTTCGAGTCAGAGGCGACGAATCCTCTCTTCAGATCCTTGACGGCGACGTTCTTCACGTTGAAGCCGACATTGTCGCCGGGAAGAGCTTCGAGAAGAGCCTCGTGGTGCATCTCGACGGACTTGACCTCAGTGGTCAGACCGGTGGGAGCAAACGTCACCACCATACCTGGCTTGATCACACCTGTTTCCACTCGTCCCACTGGGACAGTTCCAATTCCTCCGATCTTGTATACATCCTGGAGGGGCAACCTGAGGGGCTTGTCAGATGGCCTCTTGGGCTCGTGAACATTGTCCAAGGCTTCCAGAAGAGTAGGCCCCTTGTACCAGTCGAGGTTGTTGGACCTCTCGATCATGTTGTCACCCTCAAATCCAGAGATCGGAACGAAAGGAATCTTATCGGGGTTATATCCGACTTTCTTCAAGTAGGACGAGACTTCTTTTGCAATCTCATCGTACCGCTTCTTACTGTACTTTGGTGTGGTGGCATCCATCTTGTTGCAGCAACAAATCATCTGCCTCACTCCCAACGTGAAAGCCAGCAACGCATGCTCTCGGGTTTGTCCATCCTTGGAGATACCAGCCTCAAAACCTCCGGTGGTGGAGTCGATGATGAGCACAGCACAATCAGCCTGCACGCACAAACAAATCGACTCACGTCAGGATCCATACGGTCTTTCGTTCTCTACTACCGCGATCGGTTTTATCGCAACTGCGCAAAAATCGAATGATAAAGCATCTCTACCTGAGATGTTCCTGTGATCATGTTCTTGATGAAATCCCTGTGACCGGGGGCATCGATGACTGTGCAATAATACTTGTTGGTCTCGAACTTCCAGAGAGCGATATCGATAGTAATACCACGCTCACGCTCAGCCTTCAACTTGTCAAGCACCCAAGCGTACTTGAAAGAACGCTTGTTCATTTCAGCAGCTTCCTTCTCAAACCGCTCGATGACACGCTTGTCGATACCTCCCAGCTTGTAAATAAGGTGACCAGTGGTGGTCGACTTCCCGGAGTCGACATGGCCAATAACCACGATGTTGATATGAAACTTCTCCTTACCCATGTTGCTCGATTACCTGACAACAACAAACACAGTCAAATTCCATGTAATGGCAACTTAACTCAGCCTCTATCTCTCCCTCTCTCTGTACACAAAGCGCAGATTCGTGAGCTCAACACAGAACAAGTGACAGTAGCAAATCCAACACTGATCGGTCACTGGGCGATGAGACGCCTTCATTCCAGCAGTACAACTTCAGATGTCAGATGCAAATCAATACAGTCATCACAGATCCATTCGATCGATCGATCGACACACCCACGAGGGCTGGGTGCATGAGGAAAGCTTACAACGGCGATTGCTTACCGAAAGCAGGAGCCGGAAGACAGATACGATCGATCGACTGCGAGCGAATTCGGAGAGAGAGAAGATGTCATGGGCCTGGAAAACGTCCGAGCTACATCTTAAGCGAATGGACCGAGAGCCACAAACCTTGTCCTCTACGGTAAATCTAATTCAACTACACCCGATGGGATCGAACCACACCTCCCGACTGAGATTCTGCAGCATCCTGCTTTTCTGCAGATCTTCAGTTCATATGTCATTTCAACTCATGTTGCTTCACGCGTAAGTATGACGGAATGTAGGGTCGACTATCGACGGTCAAACTTTTGCCATGCGACGGTGGACGAGGGCATTAGTATGCATGGCGATCTCCGCCAAGTTTAGTGGAAATGGTGCGAAAAGTGGGTAGCCGATCGTCGCCGTGAACTGTAACTGACGCCAATTTGGCGTTCGGGTCAAGATTAACGACGGTCGTTATATAATCTGAAGGATCTTTGACGCCTCAGGTTTCCACATCCATCCGAGGGGCATGAATTGCACGTGGAATCAGCGCGCCTTTCTGTTACGTGAGTCTCCTCGCCGTATGCTGGACACGTGTTATTTTACGGTGAAGTGGATGTTCTCCGTTATCGAAACATATATATAACTAAATAAATAATAAATACATCCCACACTTCATTTACCCATGCAAAAGTAAGGCCCTTCCAAAGTGTGAAGTTTCGGAAATGGTGCGATATGATGCAAAATGATGCTGAATGGAGAGACATGCAGAGAAATGGAGCGAAATTCGCCGTACAGGATGTAATGACACGATGGCGACATCTTCCGTAGAGCAGGCGGGAGGGCCGTCCACTGCAGTAACAGACTCGATAAGAACATGCAGGCACGGCGTCGTCTCACGTCTCTTTTCCAAGTCATGCACCCACCGTCCAACGGGTCGGCTTCCGCGACCGTACCGGACGGCTGACACGGTGGTGGGCGGAACGGCATTTAGACGGAGTCGGGGCGGCACAGTGAACGGGGTTGCAATTTTCAATCCACTGACGGCAGGCTAGGAGACAAACATTCCGGACGAACGGACCGGTCCGCGACTCAAATCGGTCCGGTCTCGCCGGGGAAACAGAATAGTCTGACAACTCTTTTTCGTCAACGTCGGCACGAGATAACGCAAATGGGTCGCCCGGCGAATCTATGTCCGCATAAAGGGAATAAAGCGGCTGGCAACTGGGGCCCACCGCGCGGCGCTTTGCGCTTTGCCTCATTGCCCAGACGAGGACGCAACGAGGCGCAGTCCAGGGAATTTTTTAATTCCCCGTCCCAGTACCTACTTGGGGAAACAGGAGACCCATTGGCTCAGGCTTACGTGTCGCCTAATTTTGAGGCCTGCCATAAAGGTCCACGAAGTGAAGGGGAATCCACCAAAGTGACAACTGAAATGATGATACTTTAACAGTTTCACTCGTCGCTTTCAGTCTTCGTTTGCGAAAAATGCACCAAGTACTCTTCTCTTCATGCAAAGAGTCTCATTGAACGATCTAAACGTATCAAGGAGGCTTCAATATGGGAGCCCATATTACAAGAAGAGGGGCAGAACTTTTATCACCGATGTTACTTATCTTTCACTGACTAAATTGTCGCTTACTCTTGATGTGTTTCATGCAAGGAAGGGTAGTTGGATGAGAAAGTAGAGTGGATGGAAAGGACCGCAGGGTTCCGTCAATCAATCAATTAATAGTGTAATGGTATTTATAAATTTTCGTTTAAGTTAAATTTTCAAAAGATGCAAGACTTTTATTCAAGGAAATCCCCAAAAAAATTCGGAGAACTCTTCCTTCAGATATTATCTTATTAAAAAATTTATTAAGCATGTATATATTGAAAAGCTGAAATGCATATGATTCAAAATTAAATCTATGCTGATTTGAACACAATAAACATAGGAATATAAATAGATATACCATGATACAAGGAATGACGACTGAACGATATCTTCCGCCTCTAATTGTTATCAGCTGTACGTGAGTACGGAAATGAGTTACGTGAGGCATACGTAAAGCATTGCAAACAAAATCACCGACCTGAAACACATCAACATGTTAAACATCACCGTCATAAACTTTAATGCAATTCTCTCATGTCCCCTTTCTTACCGTTAAAGAGAATCAATCCTTGATTCTTGAAGTCAGACTTATTGCTGAGCACTCGTAAGTGAGTCATGGACGAGGCAAACTTCTAAGAATTTCGATAAGATTCACATTCAATATACTCTTTCAAAGAGATTGAGCTTGGAACGATCCATCAAATTTCACAAAGAAGAAACCAAACTAGAAACATAAACCTAATAACATCACAATGATAAAGACGTAGATATGATATTAAATATATGATTCAAATTGTCTACAATGAGTATGAGTGTGTGAAGAAGCATCATCTGATAAGATTTTTGTCCTACAGTTTACACCAACTAATACTGTGTTGAGAATAATGAAAACGTGATCCTTACCATAAGCTAAATAGTATATTAACCAAGTTGACTAGAACTCTAGACGATTATAATGTCATTCATACACATGTCAAAGTTGATATCCATAGCTCTACATGACTTTTAACCTAGAAAAATATAGAGCTAAGCTCTCTACATACATCTAGTGTACTGATTCAAAAAATTAAAATCTTCAACATACAACATCTGACTAATTACTAGTGAAATTCCCAGTTTTGGAACTATCTTGAGTATTTTTGTGATTTTATTACATGAATCATCCATTTTGAAAATCAAATGAAGATGTTTATATAACATCACTCATTAATGCTTGGAAGATAATGATGTATTATGCATAAAAAAATAATTATCGTTCAATAAAACATCTTTACAACTCTATATCAAAACTCAAGCCTTATAATATTAACCTTTTATCATAATAAATATAAGAAAAAGTTAAGAAAACACATCAAGAATTGATTTGAACATCTATTTATTGATGAAGATTATAGTATTTTTTCAATACATTTATATTATTTAGCAAAATTAATTTATAATTATATATATTTTTTATTTTATTCATCAATACTCTTGATGATTGAATTATTGAAAGAAAGAAATTTTAATTTTTTTTATTTTATCAGAATGTCATAATGTATATAATTTATAAAAATCAATGAAGAATTTAAGTAATTTCTTTTGCTAAAATCGCTATAATAATAATAATAATAATCTTTATTTTCAAACATGTGGAATAATATCTACATCTGACTATGTTAAAAATTCTGTTACGACAAAATTTTTAATATATAATATGTTTTATAATTACTCATAATATTATTAATTACGTCTTTAATTACACTATTGAAATTTTTTATTCTATCTTTAATATGATAATAGATTTATATTTTTTCTTGATGCAAATTTTATTTTTTTATATGATAATTTATAATAATATTAAGTAAATTAATTTAAATAGGACTCATTTATATGCTACAAAGATTATCATCAATATTCAATCTGAACCTAAAAAGATTCTAGAGAAACAAAGGTTATAGTGAAGAAAATGAATTTCATAAAAATCAATATTCTTAGTTATATTTCATAGATTTAATTTGCACATACCAAATTTTTGTAGAAAAACATAAAAAAATAATTAAAATAACAAACTGAAAAATCTAAACAAGTAATATTGTTTAAGGTCTTAAAAAAAAGATATGTTTGATAATATTCGTTTTTTCTTAATTATAAATATTTTATATAATCACAAGAATATATTACTTCTGTATTTGATAAAAATCTAAAATACTGAACTTCAAAATGGTTCTTGAACACATATATTTAAACCAAATATTTTTTGTCTCGTGTAAAATAAAAATTACACAATTTCTAAATAAACATAATTTTCATAATTTTTTTTAAAAATAAGTAGAAAATAATAACTGTTGTATCTTTGTAGATATAAACTAATCCAGCGTATAAAATCTTTGTTTTCTAAACTAAATTATTATTTTTATAATAATTTTTTTTAAAAATTTGTAAAGTTATTTTATGTATAAATTTTATTTAAATTAGTTTGTATTTAGATTTCACGCTTGATTTATTAAATATATTTTTTATCATATATTTCAGAATTATATATTTCATAAAAAATATATGTATTTAAATCATGATTTTTAAAATGTTGCAAAAAATGTTATGATTTCTGTTTAAATTAAATCACTTATTGTAAACTATCAATATTTTAATTCATGATTTAACTAGATCAATCAATTTTTGGGCTGAAATTATTGAAATAAAGTTGTAGTCTAAGATTAATGAATTATATGCTTTCTTTTGAGAATTGAAAGTGATATAAGCATTCATAATTGTAATTCATTTGGTGATAATTTTGCTAAACGTTTGCTTAAAATTATGAAGTATGAATATGTTGAATGTGAGATAAATATATATATTTTTTTCCAAAAGAATTATGATATTGTAATTTGTAAACAGGTACTAGTAATTTTATTTTAAGATCAATAATGCTTGCATAAAGCAAAGAATGAGAATGTTGTTAAGACAGTTCTGCATTTTGATTTGAATCTATAGATTGTTTGAAACCGCAAAGTTAAACTCGTCACACCTTTGATACCTCTGTTCTGTTGGAAGTTCATTAAAAACATCCCCATTGAAAAGCTCATTTCAAGGAAAAGAAAAGTGATATATATAAAACTGATTTAAATTAATGTCTTGTAATAACAATCCAGATTGTAATAATTCATCTGTGGACATTAGATAGAGAAAAATAATCAAACACCACAACCGTTGAAAATTACTTTGCTAAACATCAAACGAGCAAGCGGCATTTAAATCATATTTTGTGATGCAAACAGCGAAATGATCAGTGGCCTTGAGGAAGAAGCTTCGAAGCTTTCAGCGGCAAAAGTAAGTGAATTGACAGTGTGACGTCGAGAACTGACAGTGTGGGCCGTTGAACTGGTCTCGTTTTGTTCGATGCTCCGCCGGTGGTTCAGGACGATTGAACCTCGGTGAGTTTTATGAACAAAGGAAGTGGAAAATTAGAGATTTTGATCAGAACTGAGCTGGTATCCAAATCTCGAACCAGATCGTAATCCGACCAAATATTGTCTGTTAGAAAGATTTCATAGAGAGCGTCCAATTCCAGTGAATTGGCCGTCTGCCTTCGGTGGTATCGAGTCAGTTATGGTTGTGTGACTCTGTAATGTTGGAAGCACTCATTGCGGCCATTACCGAGTTGCGCGGTTGGCCATATATGATTTCTGCCGTCCGGCTTCGGCAGGATGGAAGGCGGCCGACGCACCCTTCTCTTTGAATTTGTGGACGATAGCATTTCAAGATTGCGCGAATGCTGTGGATCCGCTGAAGCCGACGATGCGCTAACGAGATTGCGGATCTGCAGTTGCGTGTGCTATCTCGCGTGATGAATGGGCGGAACTTGAATGTGGAAGCCATTAGTCCGTACAAAGTGAAGCTGTGGGAATGGGAAACTTGTGAATTCATGGAGCAGGTGATGAGCGGCTGTCATGCCATCCGATCGCGGCCGACTTGTCTGCCGATCGGTCTCTCTAGATCGGCGTTGTTTTCATGCCCTGCCGCTCCGATTTCGCTGGTTCACAGTCTTGTGAACCATCAGCGTTGATATCGATGCATCCTTTCTGTCTTGGATGAAAACGTGTTTGCAGGTTGATTGAACGCTTCAAGAAGTTTGGGGGTCGAACCGGGCCATAATGTAGAACGTGACAACCAGGAGTTCTGGCAGTGGTCCTTCGAAGTCTGTCAGATTCTGTTTCTCGAGACATTGGTTTGGATCAAAGAACATTGGTTGGGTCCCGTCAGGAGATAAGGGTCCGAATGCAGAGTTTGGATATGCATCCTGCTAACTCGAAGGACTTCGATCGAGTGAAAGATGGGTGAGGAAGAAATAAATCCCAAAAGCGTCGACTGATTTAATTTCTGAATAGAGGCGATGTAATCTCGATCTATTTGCTTCACGTGCTGAATGTGAAGCAAGAAGAGGTCTTCATGAAGTTATTCGATGAGGGAATCGATTCACTTGTTGAGGCCTCGTAGCCTTTCTTTAAGGCTAATGATGGGATTAATTTCGGTCCTTTTATCAAGTTCGTAGAATATATACGAACTACAAGCAGAGCTAGCAGAATGGACTCAAAACGGAAATCGTTGCAGTCCGCCCGGGCGAGTAACCGGGGCAGCAAGCTTCTTCAACCTGAACCCAGGCGGCCGTCGATGGTGACAGCAGTGCCAGGGTCTCACCGCCATTCGCTTGTGGAGGAAGCTAAAAAGCCTGAAACCAATAGCAGGCGGGCTTCCGTAAAGTCGGTCGGTATCATAAAGCCCGAATCCGCGATGGATGTGGACGATGATAAAGATTTTCCCGACCAAGCTGATTGTGGGGAGGTGTACGATTCGGTAAGCATGTCTCTTCCAGTTCAGTGGAAGCTACAATGTTATCTTGTCATGCCTCGTCCGTACAGGGCAAGCAGAAAATGTGAATGATTGTAACAAATTGGTGTTTCCACCGACCCTAATCTGGTTTCCTTCCTTCCAGTAAAAGGTAGTCGCCAAGTAAATGCAATACGAATCCTATATTTCCAGCTTGAAGGTGTTGTCGCTCACCAACTGGTCGTAGTCTACAGATGGAGGTCGAGGAACCAGTTGTCGTGATGGATTATTTTGAGCAGCTCGAGACAGCATTGATGCGAACAAAAGCGGTAGGTTTAAGCTGCTTCATAGACCGGGGGTGGGATTACTTTCACGTATCCTGGAGTGCGATAGTCAATTTCAGAAAATAAAGATTCATGACAGACTATTATACGGAGGTAATGCAAAGATGAAACTGTGCTTGTTGAAATCTATACCGAGCTCTTAATTGAAGGAATTTTCTTGCTGATGCTGCGGAACAGGAGTTGCATATGAAGATGTCCGAATTGCCACCTGTTATAAGTAAAGAGAAGCTGTTTACCTTAGGGTTGCCTCATGTTTATGATACCGATATGTTTAATCGGTCTCCGTCCAATCGAATTGCAACCAACTACAGGTAATAGTATAGCTCAGTGTGCAAGACCAGGTCTTTCATTCGGTCGTCAGATGTTACTTTTTGTTTTCTGTCCAAAAATGACCAAGTAGGTCTCAGCATGTCCGCTACGTTGCACATGTACCGTGTGCGGGAAAGTATGTCCAAAGGACCAACAGTAGATTGTTCCTGTCCGATCTTAGAATTACATTTGAAGGTGTCTCGTGGTCAAGTCCATAGCATTTTCCTTCTAGGTTTCGAAGAGCGTGGCCTTTCAAGCATTGACCGTCGAAAGTCACTAAGAGGCCTCCTGATATCACTAATGGACAAAGATAATGCCGTAATTGAAGGAAATGTCTACATAGCCACAAAATATTGAAGAATGTGCTCCTTGCCACAACTTTACAGCCCAGCAGCAGACAGATTTGTTGAAATGAAGCCGGAAGTGCGAGTGGTGCACCACGAGGAGTCGTCTATTTATTTGGACTACCTGGCCACCCCGTTGGAAACCAAGAAGGAGTGGGTGATTCCAGACCTTATGAAACCAGAAGTAGCGAATGAGAAGCTCCATGCCACGGCGTTGGCTAGATTACATCGGGATCGTCGAGTGAAGGCAGGGCTGAAACGGTCTCTCTCTCCGGATTCTGACAAATCATCGTGGGTTTACCCTGAGAATGAGAGGTACTTCAGGGGAGGCTCTCCCAAAATGACCAAGGTCGTACCTACGAAAGAAACACTAGTCTCTCTACGAGCCTCATGGAAGAAAATCAAGTGTACGGATGACCCTGAACCAAGCTCGACGGAATCCTGTGCTTCAACTTGGGATGAGTCTGGATCAGAATCAGGTTCGGAATTCTGTCTCAAGTGTGGCATTCATCACGTGAACATGGGAACGCTCGAGTTTAATAGAGCTAGAAAAATTAGTGCCTACGGAGGAAAAATTGGAAAGAGAATCAGTATAGTGGATCGTAAGTACTTCCCGGCCCCCCCGATTGTGGAGAGTCCTCGAAGCCGTATCAAAGCCCGCTCAAAACCGACACCGTGCAGCGCACAGAACATCTATTCAGCTGCTGAAAATATTATCAAGTACGAATATTACCTGGACGAAGGAGTCGAGGAGAAGTACATAACACCTCTGAGGGAAAAATGGTTGACAAGTGCAGCTCATCGAATAGGTAATCGCTGGCAACTTAGGCTTCCGAGCGAAACATATCACGACGTCATGGTCCATGTGGCCCTCCAAATAAAGTACTACTACCTTTACAGCATGCGGAAAGCAATCACAGACTACGTTCTGAAGGTCAGTTTCTCGTTCATGCATTTGGAACCAGTGAATGAGGGTAAATCAGCTTTGAGTTTGCCCGCCTTGCTTTTCGTTGAATCACAGGAAGCATCTAAATATAGAGGTCGTCTGAATCTCATCGACTCATGTGCATGTATCGTCAGCATCTTTCATCCTTGTCCGGAAGCACATATAAAGACTTTAGGAATCTTACTTTGGGTGATTGCGTAGTAGCGCCAGAGGATACATCAGAATGTTAAGAACGGAGGACAGTTCCCAGTTACAGCATCGATAGTTCACCCTTCGTCCGCCATCGTAAATGAGTGCGTCAAGTGGAGTGATAGTAATCACGACTACAGAAACAAAATTAGAAAAATATGAAGAGAACAGTTTATATAAGAAGCAGCATGCAGCTATAATCTACCTTTCTGCCGGTCTTGCAGGACGAAAGTGAAAGAAAACGACTCGGATTAGTAAACCTAGACCAAGCGTTGCAGGCTTTGAGCACAGGATTCATAGGGAAGCCTACAACCGTACAGATCCTTTCGCAGCACTGGCGAAATGCAGTGCTGGAGGCGCACGATAGTTTAGCTTTGAAGATGTTTCGGTTGAATCCTTTGGCGCTGGAAGTCATGGCACTATGGGAGAAAAACTTTAGTAATTCGCTCTTCTTAGAGGTCATGTCTGCAAATTTCACCGCGGGGTTACCTTACGAACTAGCAGCTTTTGAAACTGAGCAGAAGGATCTTGCTTCGAAACGAAGAGTACTTATCATCAGAGAATGGTTGCCCCTGGTGTGTGACAAGCTCAAATATGCCATTCCAAAGCCGACTATGGAGATGATTGGGTTCTATCAAGCTATGGCTGTTCTCATGAGTAGACAGATAAGACAACTTGTTGAGGACTCCATAGTCTCCTACACAAAATTTTTTGCTCAGTACAAGGAAGGCAGCTCGTATGAATGGGAAGGTTCTCAAGAGGACACTGCGAAGGTTCCAGCACTACCGGTGGAAGGCAGTGGTGATGTGAAGGCCGATACCACTGATGGTATATTTGCGATGGAGCCACCGACAGAAGAAAAGCTGAGGCAATTTTTTGGTAAACAGCGGTTAGCTTCAGATAAAACGTCTTCGGAAAATTGGTCTCCTCCGTTTTACATAAGTTTGAAGAACGATCATGGTGTTTACAGGTACTCGCTGTGTTCAGTTCATTATTAACTTATTAATCTCTCTTATAATTCACACCTCGGCTTCCGTGCCATGTATTCAAAGCCAAATTTTCTTCACTCCTAGCTGAATATATTACGGTTGAATAGTTGCGAGCCAACGTTCGAGGAACTTGCGGAATCGCTTCTGCGTGTGGTGGACTGGTCTGTATACGAAAGTAGTGGTTTCATGCGTGTGGATTCGGATCACATAGATCCTTCAATGAGGACGATGCCGCACATGGTTCTGGAAGATGAACTTGTTCAAGTGGCCAAGAATTACCTCAGGCAGGTGCTCTCCCTCTCTTTGAAAAACCCCCGGCAATTTTAAAGCTTCCATCCTGTAACTTCTAGATATGAATCTCACGAGAATCATTGGGAAGATATGCAGAACTCAATGGGTCAATCGCAAGCCAATGGTGTTGGGCATTCGTATCGCCTCATCGTTTTAGGCTGGTTTAAGCGTGAACTGGACACGACAATGACCAGCAAATATCAGCTATATGCGAAAACTAACACAATTCATTCTGGTCAAAAAAGTTCACACATGTCTCGGATATCCAGATAGTGGGTGGATCTTCGGTTGTCGAGTTCCTTAGAAAAGAGTAAAATGCAAAAAGAGGATGGGAAGACCCGATGAAGTCGTTCAACAAGTCGATTGATGTGTTCCATCCGATCCCCTCTGATGTTTCCACCTCACAGTGGAAACTAGAACTTCGTGCAAAACAGAGCCACTTCACGAGATCTACGTTCTTTCAACTGTGAAAGGTCTGAGCGATCCTTTCTGGATACGCAGATAGTTTTCGCCAATTCCAAGGGACCTCAGCAAATAATGAGGAGTTTCGAAAAATTCAAGGACTTAGCAAGTTTGAACGCCTACGCATTCGCCAAAGATTTTGGCTTGATGGAAAAGCCGCTAGAGGAGTATAAGGACACGCTGGCCAAATACAATGAGCGAACAGTCCAAGCGCAGGAGGCAAGTGCGAACGAAATAGACTGTGGTCTCGTAAGAGTGCGCTGTGAAGCCTTTAAGCAGACTTTGATCGACAAAGCCCAACTGGTGAACACATTATTGAAACAACAGGTAACCAACTACCTCCACCAACTTTCTCAACCTAGCAAGGGGCACGGCACAGAGAGATTACTTAAAGGGCAGAAAGAAAACTACATGAAGTAAAGCATCAGTGTATCAATGCTGGGGCGATCATACAAAATATGACGGATTCTATAAGTCTTCCATTTTCTGAGGGTAATGAGTTCCAGTGTTGCTCTTGATACACTTACATTCCTGATATTATTTCATTTTGATAGCCAGCTTTTTATACTCCTTGCCCAGAGTTGTCAGTGATTTGATCAAATTATGACCACATGAACTCAGTAGGTGCTTGCACAAATGACAGCTGGTCATCAAGAGGTTATTGATCGTCATGAACACATTTCGAACACGGTGGGGAAGGATCCAACCAACGCTGAAGAAGCAACATCGCTCCGCAAGTATGCATTCTTCAGCACTTGCAACTGTCTTCCATTCTCCCAAAGGAGCCTAGAGGACTGATGAAAGACATTTATGTGAACCAGTGGCGGCTAATCTAACAGTTCTGCAGTAGTTTTGTCGGGTGATAATACCTATTTTTGGGTTTCGCTGTTTCCATCAGAAGATCCCGAAAGTCTTCAAACGTTGTCAAGCTTTTCCGTTTGGTATAAAATTCCTGTGGGTGCTATTTACAGAGTGTACTGTGGGGAACACCGTGGATTCCTGGCTCTCCTTAATAACTGTCCGTCGAAAGTGGTTGCTCTACCCATACGTGGAATTCTTGTATGGGCCTCAACTTGCACTATCAGTGTGTTTTAACACTGATGACATTGTCTCCTGAAAGAACAATTCATGTGAGCACTTGTCGAGAGTTGGGCTCAGAGGTCTATAAAAGGATATGAAGGAAGAGTTTTCTCTGAGTGTTTATCTGCAGTGTCCGGAAGGGGCGTTTACTTGTACTGAAAAGCACGTTTCACTTGCATTGCATGTAGATATTTCTTCGCTGCTGCGAACGAAATGGCCGTGCTGGAGAGGATGCTAGAGGAGAACAAGAGAAGGGAGTTCTTTCTGGAGGAGGCCATGTTTGGATTACCCGAGGACGATTTTCAAAAGATGATGGTTGCTCGGGAGTGGCCCAAACGCATTCGAGTGATACTCAGTGTGCACCAGAGAAGGATTCAGGAAGAATATGACCATTATGAAGCTGGACTAAAAAAGCGCCGGGTGGAATTCGCCAAGAAGCTGGAAATGTATGCATGCTCTGTACATCTCGCTATCAAAAGTTACAGAAACATTTGGTTTATTTCAATTTTGTCATTTTTGAAGATCCTAGTTCTCTGATGCAAGTGGCTCAAGCGAAATCCTCATGAGAATTCTGCTGCTGCAGCTACGGTGAAGAGATAAAAAAATTTGAAACTTATGGTGACATAGAAAAGAGCCCAGTGATAGGGAAGTTGGCAATGGTAAGGTGTAAATAACTGATCAGTCAAGCCCATAAACAATTTCCAAAATCTTTGAGATTATTACAAGCAGAAATCTTCGATGTTCTCAGATTTTGTTTTAAGATGAATAGCAGAAAACAGAATGTTCTTATATAAGCACTCAAATGGTTTCTATTGACATTCGTTACGTGTAAAAACTTCTCGCCTATATTGAACTGGTCGGAAACCTTCGCTGATAACACAATTTGTACTCATAGGACTTGTCCAAGGGACTGGAAGAGGCCCTCGATATTGCGGAACTTATCAACACTGAAGAGGGATACTTTGGAATGCCACCATCACGCTTCCCTCAAATTCAAACACTTACAACTGCTCTTGAACCTTACTTAAAGTTGTGGGGTATAGCGCACTCCTTCAAGACAAACGAGGAAGAATGGATGATCGCCTGGTTGAACACCCTCGACACGGAAAAGATCGAGGGAGAGGTGATTACGAACTGGGGAGAAACTCCCGCTTCTTTTTTGTTCGTTACAGCTTCGGTCGCTGAGAAGTTGGACTTACGAGCGCTAGCTATTTCCTAAGAGTAATTCTTCTAGTGTGTGACATAATCAGCATAATCGATTTGCTGATTGTCTTTTACACTAACATTTAACTTGGATGATCATCTAGGTCATGACTTGGTGGAGAACAGTATTCAAATTGGTGAAGCAGTTTACTGATGTTCTCCCAGAGCCAGCAAAAGTTGCGGTAGCACTCAAGGCGCTTCTTGATCGCTTCAAAGAATCTTTGCCGCTTTTGAAGTGCCTTTGCAACCCAGGTAATATTGACTCCCCATCGTTGAATTTGAAGGAATTACATTTAGAAAAACCACACTACCATGCACGACAGAGCAAGGCAGTTTTCTCGTAAATAATTATACATGAGAAGCAGAGACTGTTTGATTTGTAGTCCTCACGTCCTTGCAAGTTTTCAACTCACCAGACTCGAAAAACTTCAGAGTTCTGGAAGAAATATCAATGCAAGATTGGATAAATAACTTCAACTTTACGACGAGGCAAATATGCTGACATCGTGTTTCATCATTCGTTCAGGACTTAGAGCACGACACTTCATTCAGATTTCTGAGGTCGTTGGATTTGAAGTTCACAATGATGATGGTACCAACTTTCGACAGCTACTGCGGCTCCAGGTTCAGTTAAAGTCCTGCTTTGAAGAGTTTTGGCATACAAACAATTTTCAAGCAGCTAGACAGAAATTCGATATTATAAATGATTCTTCTGTGTAAGGCAAGATGAAAAATTCCTCATTTGAGGGCTCTTCAACCGTAGTATTTGAAATTGGTACCGATCTCTCTGACTCTTATCTGTCTGACAGATTGATGAGCACATAGTAAAATTGGAGGAAATAAGCGAGTATGCAAGCAAAGAGTTTGCACTAGAAAGATCACTTGATACCATGGAGAGTGACTGGAAACCCCTGAAATTCGAGGTAATACTATCCGACAAGTTGAACAACTTTTCAAAGTTATAATTTTCGATGCACATATAGGGCAATTGAAGGCCAAGATAAGGCTCGACAATAAAAACGAAGTGTGGATCTCCTCTGACATTTATGTAAATTGATGTGCAGTATTCGTTATACAAGAACACCGGCGCGAATATCTTGAAGGGTGGTCCTATAGAAGAAGCTCAACTCATGCTAGATGAGCATGTTGTGAAGACACAGAACATGTTGGCTTCTGCGTTTGCGGCCCCATTCCAAGAACGTTTGCAGATATGGCTCGGAAAGGTAAGGCCAGTTTTATGCAGGACGTTCGTTTCTCACTCGCCATCAAAATGGAAATTAATGGTTCTTCTGTCAAAATTATTAAAAGTTAGGCTTCGCCTAATGCAGTAGCTGAAGTAATGAAAATCACATCTCTACCATGAAGAGCTGATTTCTGGCTTTCATGAGCTGTAAAAAATCGTCAATATTGCTGATTTCGAGAGCTTCTGTTCTGTTTTCTTTGACTAATCTGCTCAGGTAACATTACTGCAACAAATATTAGTGGAATGGCTGAAGATGCAAGCATCCTGGATGTACTTGGAGCCCATATTTGGCTCAGAAGATATTCTTGAGCAAATGCCGAAGGAGGGTGGTTTATTCCATCAAAACGACAAAGTGTGGCGGAGAATTATGGCCGCAGCCGAGAAATGCGATATAATGCTTGACGTAAGAGCTGAAGCGTCGGGATTCTTAGATAAGCGATTTGGAGCTTGCCTGTCAGATCTTTCTGCTTAATGCTTCAAACTAAAATTTTATGCGTCCGGTCTTGCTTTGTTATCTTCCAATGCATATAAACTTTGCGATGATTCTGAAGTAAAATGCCTCTGTTGGCAGGCTTGCGCGATCGAAAACCTTCTGCAGGACTTAAAGAAGAGCAACGTGGATTTAGATGTTGTCCAAAAGGGACTCAATTATTATCTCGAGACTAAGCGTCTTGCTTTTCCCCGATTTTTTTTCCTGTCAAACGACGAGCTTCTGGAGATTTTGTCTGAGACAAAAGATCCATTAAGAGTACAGCCTTTTCTCAAAAAATGCTTCGAAGGGATAAACACTCTGGTATTTGAGGCCAACCTTGATATTATCTCTATGGTAAGCGTCGAGAAAGAAAAAATCGATTTTACACGAATAACGAATCCAAAGTTTGCCAAGGGCAACGTTGAGAGGTGGTTAATCGAAGTCGAGAAGATGATGAGAGAGACCTTACTGGTGAGACACACTCAAAGCATTTGGTTGTCCTAACAGTGTATCTTTGTTTTGATGCTGGAGCATTAATTTTGTTTTAAAGATACACATACCCTTGCAATAGAATCTACTATATATCTCAAGATTTGTGGTACTTTCTTCATGCTCACTGCAGGAGCCAAATTGGAAAATTTGCCTTGCTTATGAGGTAGACTAGAAAACATCCAGCAGCCTAGTTGAAAGTTCTCCAAAGTCCTGTTTTACAATACAAGACGATAACTAAAGGTATGAGTGTGATTACCTGCGAGCGCAGGTGGTGGCACAGAAAGCTGCTGCGGATTATGCTGTGACGGCGAGAACACAATGGATATTAAAATGGCCTGGGATGATTGTCCTTTGCGCATCCCAAATACATTGGACTAGGGAGGTGGCAGAAGCTATACAGGCTGGTGGTGAGGCCGGACTCAACCAGTACGAAGAAAAGTGTTCATTGCAACTCCAAGATCTTGTGAAACTGGTAACGCTAGAATTCAGAGGCTTCTTGTTTTGTTCGCTTCTCTCATAGACCATTGTTTCACACATCACTCCGATCTGTCAGGAGACCTTGTTCTCCTCAAAATATAATTTAACCTCATTTTCTCATTAAATTCATGAAGCTACACATGGACATCTACATCACCAAATTCTAGTCGCAGGTTAGAAATGCTGTAAGCGATGACAATCACGATATATTTATAATTGTGGGTTCAGATTCTCTAGAAATAGCTATGCATCTCAAACCTTCCCACCTGCAAGCAAACTACAGGAAACTGACTACTTCATCAATCTAGGTGAGAGGAGAATTAACAACTCTGGAAAGATTTACCATCGGAGCACTATGTGTGGTGGATGTGCACGCAAGGGATGTTGTTACACTGCTGAAGACATCTGGAGTAACTAAAGATACTGACTTTGAGTGGCTTTGTCAACTACGATACAGTTTAATTGATGGCGCGGTATGGTTTCCGAACAGTACTCCCTTTATATGTATGATTCTTCGAACTGCAGCATTAATGCTTGCAAATTATTCAGCATGTATGGTACTAGGATAATGGCATGACTTCAAGAGAAAGCCTGGTCTTGTACGTAGGGAACTATTCTGAGTCTTCTGTACGTTACATTCTGAATAATTCGAATTTCAAGTCGGACAAGAGATGATCGACTGATTCACAAAACTGGATTAAAACTGAGGCAGGTGATTGTCATGATGGTAAATGCAACTCGCAAATATGGTTATGAGTATCTAGGAAACAGTGCCCGACTTGTCATAACGCCATTGACTGATCGATGTTATCGAACACTTATGGGAGCTTTGCACCTCAACCTGGGTGGAGCGCCTGAGGGACCTGCTGGTACAGGGAAAACGGAAACTACCAAAGATCTTGCTAAGGTTCGGAGCCACCTTTAGTCTAAGTACTAATTTATATGATGTAACGTGACGATGCAGTAGGTCCTGAATTCTTTGATGATGCCCAAGGTAAAAATATTCGAGCTAGTCGCAGAAAGAGTCCAACTCACGATCATTCTTATATACTGGGTTACACTTTTGGTTGAAATATACAGGCCCTTGCAATGCAATGTGTGGTGTTCAACTGCTCTGATGGACTCGACTACCTCGCTATGGGGAAGTTTTTCAAAGGGCTTGCTGCCTCTGGGGCTTGGGCGTGCTTCGATGAATTCAACCGGATTGACCTGGAAGTGTTGTCGGTCATAGCTCAACAGATTCTGACCATTCAGAGGGCTATCATGGCTGGGGTGACAAGATTCAATTTCGAGGGAACAGATTTGCCGTTGATTTCCACATGCACGACTTTCATCACGATGAATCCTGGTTATGCTGGGCGGTCTGAGCTGCCAGATAACCTGAAAGCTCTCTTCCGCCCCGTGGCAATGATGGTTCCGAACTATGCTATGATTGGGTGCGTGCGTACTTTTACTAACACACATTTTCTTTTTTCATGAAAGGAGCGGCTGACAGTGCTTTTCAACTTCAAGCTTAGGATATGCATTACGCCAGTTAATGTTGGATCAAGTAGGACAACAGGTGCAGGTAAATTCATTCCTGATGTTCAGACAACGTGGAGACTAATGTTTCTTGTGCCGCAGTGAAATCACTTTGTATTCTTATGGGTATTTGAATGCCCGCGATATGGCAAGAAAGCTTGTCGCCACATATCGACTTTGTAGCGAACAACTGTCATCTCAAGTAACTCAACTCTCTCCTTATTATGCCAATTCCCCTCATAGACGCTTTGCAACTAGGTCTCTGGACATCCCAAGCATTAAGGAAGTGTTTCAAAATTGGGATACTCGAAGACTAATCTGATGGATTTCTCAGCATATTATTCTTTCGTAAGAATTCGTGTTTGTCAGGTAGTCTCCTTAACTACATGCAGGGAGGAGCTTCTTTTCACCTTTGAGTCGGAGAAACTTGTGCACCTATGTTTGCGGTACTGAACTAGATGAAGAGATCGATAAGCACACCTTTGACTTATGCAGAAAACATCGTAGACTACATTCAAATTAGACGTGGTGATAACACTTTTAGGCTTATCTTATTTCATTTAACTACAGGATCATTACGATTACGGGATGAGAGCAGTTATAGCTGTCCTGAGGGCAGCTGGAAACTTGAAGAGAAGATATCGCGAAGATGATGAGGCAGTACTGATGCTACGAGCCATTCGGGATGTAAATCTCCCAAAATTTTTATCTCATGACATTCCACTCTTCGAGGGCATCATGTCTGACTTGTTTCCAGGAGTGGTATGTACATTTCGTGCTCACACCATAATTTCATCAAATCACATCAGTAATCTTTCCTGCGCATGTTTTTTAATGATTGTTCATACTCTGTCACCCGGTTCTCGAATGATCCATGCAATGCGAGATTCTATGGCGCGCGTGTTTTCCCCGGGGTTGAAGATAAAAATTTTACCCAGCTATCGGCCTCTATCCTATCGGGTCTTCATGTCTAGCGGACATCCTTGCAAGCTTGTTTCATCATTATTTTGAGTCCTCCCATGTACCTCGATTACGTAAAAGCTGCGAAATTTTAGAATTCTCGAAACTGGAAAGGAAACAGTTAGAAAATCACAACAGCGTAAGCATCTGAGATAGGCAGAAACTGGTTTTTCTTACAGATACTCCCAGAACCTGATTATGTTAACATTCTGAATTGCATCAAAGACAACTGCAAAAAGACAAACCTCCAACCAACGGAGGTGTTTTGCAAAAAGATATTGGAGCTTTACGAGATGATAATAGTCAGGCATGGCCTTATGTTAGTTGGCTATTCGTTTGGAGCAAAAACCAGTGCCTACAAGATTCTTGCAGCTTCTTTGAGTGATCTCTGCGTTGCTGGTCTCAACAACGAAAACATATCAAAGTATGGCGGAAGAAACGGCAAAATATATTCTCCCCCTGTCGCGTGCCATGTCTAGAGATGGATTGACCGTAAAACATTGTTGTTTTTCTCTTCCCCTCAAGTATGCTGTTGCATGTAACAATCCACGAGTTCACAAGTTGCAAATTAGCAGAACGGAACTTCTGAACACGTCCACGTATTAAATTTGTAACTAAGAAAACCAGAAAATGTGTACTCGCTCTTCATTTCCAAAGTCGAATTTTGTAGATCAGAAGTCTAGCATCATCTTGAGGTGATGATACTAGGAAAAATATCATATTTCTTTAACAGAATGCAGGAGTTTTAGCTTTCATTATGATAAGAATCTCAAAGCATGGTCTTGCACAAACCTGTAATAACTGAAATGTGTATTCGAATCATCGTTATTTGCGTACAATCTTAATTGACAGGAATTGCGAAAACTTTTAGAAATGATATGCAACAGGTACCTAGTAGAAAAATTGATGAAGATAAAGTGCACATATACATACACACTGAAATCAATAATGTGTCCGTCGTGACGAAGACTACAGACTTTCGCAACTGGTCTTGAGCACGTTGAGAAAGGTCTGTTTTCTAATTCAAGGTACGAGTATCAGACATCTTACAGCCCATACGCTCTGCAATCGGATGCATGCATGCACAGATATAAGGTCCTGAACCCGAAGTCCATAACTATGGGCCAACTCTATGGACAATTCGATCCTGTGTCCCATGAATGGACCGATGGGGTGTTGGCAACAACGTTCAGACAGATGTCAATCGATTTATCTCCAGACAGGAACTGGCTTATCTTTGATGGCCCCGTCGATGCCATTTGGATCGAAAACATGAACACAGTATGTAATTTCCTACGACTAAAATGTTATCTTATTGCACATACATTGACTTATATCACTACCGACAACTTTTTCTTGCACATTATTCTATGTATGATAGCTTACAAGCATTCCTTCTGTCAGTTATCATAGATATGAGATTGTTCCTTTTATGTAGACTTTGATTCCAGGAGAATTTGATAGATAAAGTGAACATGCCAGGTAAAGATTTGAGCTTTCTTACGACAAATTTTCTTCTGCAGTTACAGGAACTCCATTTGTGATAACTATATGTGGCATTTCCTACAGGTTCTGGATGACAACAAAAAACTTTGCTTAATGAGTGGAGAGATTATTCAGATGACCGCATCTATGAATTTGATATTCGAAGTGCAGGATCTCGCTGCTGCCTCTCCTGCCACTGTTTCCCGTTGTGGGATGATATACGTTGAGCCTTCGACTTTGGGTTGGAGACCTCTCTTGAAGTCATGGCTGATAGCCCTTCCAGAGCCTATGCAGGAAAGATACAGGGAGCAGATAGCGAAACTATGTGAATGGCTGTTGCCTCCTTGCCTGCGATGTGTGCAAAAGAATTGCAAGCTCGGAATGCCGATGCAGGTATGAAGTAGACCGACATACTGGCGTTTAGATCTAGGACACACTGCAGGTGAGGAAGCTGAAGGGCTGGTGATGCACGTTCAATTCTGTATCTTCTATCATTGTTTGGGGGTACACGTAAGTTTCTTGATGTCCCAAACGCACGAGGGAGAAGAAAAAACTTCCAAAATTAAATCTTTCGATAATATAGAAGCTATGAGAAAGATGTGAGCTCCTCGGAAACCTAGAAAGGAAGTCTAAGTTATCCTGAACGAAGCACTGCAACTAATGCATTCCCATCGCTCTTGCTGCAAGGTTCTTGCACTTGGTCAAGATGGTTCCGAAATCGGGGGACAGTATAGCCTCTAAATGTGTAATGACATTGCAGGAACAAAATATGGTTCAAAGTATGCTGCGCATTCTGACTTGTCTCTCGCAACCGGAGCTGACAGACAGTAAGTCATCTACTGCTTCTCTGCATATGCAGTGAGACTTGTCTCGGATGGATTCAATTGTTCGTTAGTTGCCTAGCTTTCCATGGCAAATGATGACTATCGAAAGTTGTCAATGTTTCCTGAAAATGTTAAATCTATGATTACCTTTCAAGTTTTCATATGGTACGAAGTAGTTTAAAATGAAGTTGTCAATGTATCGTTTTGAACATGTCTGATGGAAACGAATTCACATATTTGCTCACGTGGAAGAGTCTTTTAATGATGCAGAGATAATGTCAGAAAAGATGGATGGAAACTTGAGGGCTACATGGGTTGATTGCATTACACTTTTCGCGTTGGTTTGGTCCGTCGGCGCTTGTATGGACACAGATCAGAGAACAAAATTTGACTTTCTTTTAAAGAAACTTTTGGTACTTCTCTTACTAGCTCGTACGATTACCACACTACACCATAGACTCTGTGATGTTGGCAAGAAGAAAACAAACTATTCGCAAGATTCAGAATATTGTTCATGTGCTACTCTGCCTGCTTGAATAATTGCTCGAAAACAAAAAACTTAAAGCTGGGAAACATTTAGCTTATGTCAGCAACTTGTGCTAATCAGGATGGATTGTGTTGATGTGTTCATTCACATGATTCTACAGGCAAATCAGCCGCCGGAAGAATACAAACCACATATACTAACACCAGCGCGAAAAGTGGCCATTAATTTTCCGGATGGAAAATCTGTATACGATTGCGTTTTCAGAAAAGACAAAGGGAAATGGGGTCTGTGGTTGGACTTCGTTGACGATCAAGGCCCCGCGGTAGATGCAGACTTCGTTAAAATTATAGTGTCAACAGCAGACACTGCGAAATATACATTCATGTTTCAGACTATCATTGATAAAAACATGCCTTTACTACTGGCTGGTCCGACAGGAACAGGAAAGTCCGTGTACGTAAAGCAGTACATGATGAAGCTAGATCCTGCGAAGTAAGTTCTCTTAGGCGCAGATCTGGAGTCTAGAAGTCTACCCTCTCAAAGCAGCCATTTGTAAATATGTATTTCATGAAATCCGAATGTGGCATATGTATATTTGAAGATATAACATCAAGTTTATTCCTTGCTTCTCTCTGATATATATATATATATATCTATCGTAGTATAAGATCTCTCGGTTGATATTTTGATCAGTAAGAATCAGTGTAGTCACAAGAGCTGCAGTTCATTTCTTAATTTACACAGAACTTCTTGCTTTGTAGATGGCAGTCCATGTTCTTCAATTTTTCAGCCCAGACGAGCGCAAATCAGACCCAGGACATCATAGATGGAAAGCTCATAAAGAGGAGACCAGGAGTGTTTGGACCCCAGAAAGGAAAGCAGTGTGTCATTTTCGTCGATGATCTGAGTATGCCTGCGTTGGAGAAATATGGCGCTCAGCCACCAGTTGAACTACTTCGCCAGTGGATGGACCACCACGGCTGGTGAGTTGAAATTCTCTGAACACATAGTAAAAAGATGAGCTCACCATCTGTCACTTAAGAGATCTTTGCTGATCCACTAAAGCTATGGACCATCCATCATGCACGATCATGTGCAGGTACGATCGTAACGATCTTACCTTCAGAAACATTGAGGACGTTCAGTTTGTTTCAGCAATGGGTCCTCCAGGTGGAGGAAAGAATCCAGTGACGAACCGCTACCTTCGTCACTTCAACGTCGTGGTCGTTACTGCTTTTTCTGATCCAACCATGCAGAGGTAATGGGCATCCATGGTTCACGCAGTGAATGGACTTGGACTTATTTCAAGTGTATGCAACAGAAGCATGTTTCTGTTGTGTTTATATATTCAGTAACGTAAATTAGCTGTTATATTCTCCCTCTTCCGCTCGTGTACAGAGTGAAATATATAATGGTACGCATTATATGCTTGCTGGCTATTTTCAACTAGAATAGTTGATGCGAGTAATATACCAAAGAGGACGTGAATCACCCTTCAAGTCATACAGGGAAACCAAGGTAGATGGTAGATGGTACAGATGTAGATGAATAAGAAAGGCTGATCTAGACGGTTAACCTGAAACAAACTGAGCATTGAATTTCGCAAAATGTGATGGTAAAGTAGCTGATTGATCGTTAACATTTCGCTTCCCAGAATATTCTCGACATTAGTTGACTTCTGGATGAAAAGGGCGAGATACTCGGCAGCCATATTGAAGCTTAGAGGCCCCTTGGTCAATGCAACTATTGAAATATATCAAGTTGTACAGAAAGAACTGCTTCCAACACCAGAAAAGTCCCATTATACTTACAACTTGCGAGATCTTGGAAAGGTTCATGTTCCAGCCTATTCCTTTCAGTTTTACGAGCGTTGGGTGCATAACATTTACCATCAAGTCTTCGATTGCAAGAATTTCCTTGGCTTTCAATATTGGGGAGTTCTATCTCCTGTTTCTAACTGCAAAGAAGGCAGGGCCCCACCAGAATTGGTGGTCCTTTCAGCCTGGAACGGTCTAGCCAGGAAGACCGCTTCCAATTGAGCTGGAGTCGATTGGTCATCTAACCCCACAGCTGCTGCTCTTCGACATATGGCTTTTAGATAGTGTATGCGTTGGTTTCCTCATTCATAACAAGGAGTCTTATTGTTGCTATGAAGTGTAGAGTTCTAAGTATCTGTGTAGAGATATTTTAGCTCTCAGGCTGCATCTTCCTCGTCCCAGTTCTCTTCTTCTTACCTTCTCCCCAATCGTGTCCTCCTAACATCACTCAGCCTGGGCGACAAGAACTCTCAGGGAGTGACAAGCAAGTAGTTATCAGAAACTATGTTGTATCGTTTCAAGAAAAGTCTTTTATTTCTTTTCAAATCCAAAACAAGAAATATTTCCAACCTTTCCGAGTAAGGAGAATAATTCCTAATATAAACACTAGAAAATATATACATATATATAAATAAAGGTTTACATTCTTCATGTTAACTAGTTTAGACACAAAATCTTGCCTGCTGTTGTATTGGGGTTATAATGAAGCTTAGATCTCTACATAAAATGCATGCAATGAGCAACGAGGAATTCACTTATCTTCAATGACCTCTCTTAGGTGTTTCTCGGTCTTCAATTTGCCCCAATCGAAATAGGAGACGATACATATAAGATTGTCCGTTTATGGGCGCATGAGTGCCTCCGGGTTTTTTATGACCGTCTTATCAACGATAAAGATAGACTTTGGTTTTGTGAGCTCTTGGCCGAGCAGTTGGAGAAGCATTTTCGGGAACGCTTTGGAAAAGTCTATGGGACCTTTTCACACTCCGAGGTCAAGAAGGGAGACATTAGTCCCGCGATTCTCCAGTACGTCATGGCTGGAGATTTCATGATTCCTGGAGCCGATCCAATGTTGGTAAATATCGATCATTGGCTCAAACGCATTTTTTATCCTGTCTAGAGGGTCTGAAGCATATATAGGCACGTATTGATGAGAATCCCATCCCTTCTGATGACCATGATCTTACAATGACAACAGTCAGGTTTTTACAAGAGGATTTTGTTGAGTAGTTCCACGGTGCGCAATGAACTAAGTGAATACGGTTCACCTGTCCAGTGGCTTCACAGAAGAGGGTGTTGTCACATGAAGCTGTGTAGATTAAAGGTTTGAGAAATCGTTTGCTCCAGTATGTTCAAGTTTCATGAAGAGCACGTGCTTCTGTGTTGCAGTACGATGAGATTACGGACGAGGAACAGCTCTTGAGAATAATGCTCTCTTACCTCGAAGATTACAATGACCTCACCAGCACTCCCATGAACCTCGTCCTTTTCCAATTTGCCATCCAGCACATCGCTCGAATCTGTCGAGTCATTAAGCAACCTGGAGGCAACGTGTTGATGGTAGGTGTAGGCGGGAGTGGAAGGCAAAGCTTAGCAAGACTTGCGGCGTTCATCGAAGGCTTTGATGTCTACCAGGTCGGTAGACATCATTCTCACAAATCTGTTCTTATGTTTCTATGAAGCCGCAAGATGTTTCTGCTTCAGAGAGCAACATCAGACTCACGGTTTCACCTTTCAACTTGTTTAGAGTATGTTGAGGATGAGTCATATGTAAAATTCAATTCTTGAGTAAATGTGACATATTTGGATAGGGGGAGAATATGTGCATGTGAACAGGCCCAGGCCGAGGGCGGAATGTGAGTTGAAGGAAAGATGGAAACAAAGCATTACTGTCTACTTCAGGCTACCTATACTTGGAACTGGCTGCTCCTTATAATCAGTAGCAAACCAGACATAGCTGCGACATGATAAATAAGAGAGCTTTTAATATTGCACGATTCAGGAAAGGGAAATAGTCGAAGTTTTCAGACCAGTCTGGTTCTGAGCTTTCAGGGTCTAGATAAGGATCCGTGAAGACTTTAAAGTCTCGCTAAAGCCAACACGTTTAACCTGACATGCTCATCCTATACTAATGAGTATTGAGAGTAAGAATTTATGCCGATTGAGAGCAGGGGAAGCGGAGAAAATTTACATTGCAGTCTTATGTACCATAGATGAAATTATCTGGTGCAGGTTGAGCTCTCGAAAAACTTTGGTATGCCAGAATGGCGAGAAAGCATTGGCATCATGCTCCGGAAAGCAGGAGAACTGGATAAAAAAGTGATGTTTCTCTTTCCGGATACCCAAATTAAAATGGAGGGATTCGTTGAAGACATCAACTCTCTTCTTAATACAGGAGAGGTGTACATCCCAATCGACATTTGTCACCATTGATTTGACTTACCTTCAATGTTGCTCGGAAAATTCTTTCAACAGATTACTTTTCTCGATATGAAAGCCAACTTGTTGTAATGCTATCTTTTCCAGGTGCCGAATCTATATGATGCAGGAGATCTAGGAGCCATATGTGAAGGAATTCGGCCCAGAGCGAAGAGGGCTAAAAGAGACGGATCTAGATTGGAACTCCTCTCTTTTTTCGTTGACGAGTGCAACAGGAACATGCGTATAGCTCTGGTAGGTGATTCTTAGTTGCATGGGTCTCGATATTCATTGAACATCATTTATTTTAACAGAATGTTAAATTAATTTGGCCTTGATGTGGACTGAGGATTGGAAATGAAATCTGGCTGCAATGCCTTGATGCGAACGCGATTTCGTTCTGCACATGATCTACTTCTATCAATTTACATATATGCATATATGTACATATATACATATCTAGGGCCCACTTAATGCTCGGGTTTATCCCGATCTGAGTTACAGCAAGGTTAAGAGAAGCTGTTTACGTCACATGCACATTTCTTTTCTGTGTCGTCGTGTAAATATCAGTTTCTCGATCTGTGGAGTGATGAGACTCTCAACCACTGCATTATTGACTCATGGGAAAGTTACATTTTGATAGAAATCTTTTGTGAATGATCTGACTTTTTTAGTGACTGCAGAGTTGAGTGTAGTGAAATATGGGGATGTCGGGATTGGGAGCAAGGCTGACTGTCACTGTGACCTGTCTTTCCAGTTTGAAATCTCTGTCATAAATTACACTCTTACATAAGCAGTAAAATCATGTCGATGTGTATTATCTTTAGTTTATGTTCTTTACGTTGATCAGTAGATACAGTGGTGATACAAAGTCATGATTGTTACCCTGCAACTAGTAGGTGGAATAACAAGGTAAGGAAAAACATGTAGCTTTGGATGTAATTCTTTTTTAATGAAGCGAGGTGCTGTTACACGAAGCAAGTCATGTTCCTGTGAGGAAATCGATTACTGGACAGACCGCATAGATATTACAGAATCTTGCTGTAGAAAAGTCAACACACCCAACTATTGGTCGGAACCGGCAGCGGAGCTTGCAATTGACATGCGATCTAGATACTAATAATATTCCCGCGTGAAGCTCCAGTTTGGTTTGATTAACCTACAAAAACGTGTCAAAATCTGTTCACGATGCAGGCTTTCAGTCCAATTGGTGATACTTTCAGAGAGCGTCTCAGGAAGTTTCCATCCCTCGTTAACTGCTGCACAATCGACTGGTTCAGTGCTTGGCCAACAGAGGTAGCAACTCTCACAAGATTTCTCGTGTCTGATAGAAGACTTAACTAAATAACTCACTTTTATTTCTTCCATGAAAAAAGGTCGCAAGAGTTGAATGTTGGAATTTAGAATCTTCTATTACATGTTTCAGTTTTAAAATGAAAAAAAAAGTAATATACAAAATTAACAATCTGATTCGTCCAAATATTATTTTTTTGAAGATAATGGCTCACTTGAATTTATGGTGTTCAAAAAAAAATCATAAATTGAAAATAAATAACAATACAATAGTCAGAATTCGAATTTTTTATTAATTCTGAAGGATCAATTTTTTCAACCAAGCATTTTGGATATTGATGCGACGGTACTTTTAAAATTTTGATCCGAAGCATTTTATACTTTACATTAACAGACATAAAGTAGTTAAAGTAACATTATATTCAGCTAAAAACTTTCATCTTGGATGAGTAGAGCATATGTGATATCTACAATAAATATCCAAATTAAATTCTGAAGCAACGTAGTCTTGTATAACATAGCAAAGGTTCAATGCTTGTATCGTCAAGATTAATTCCAACGAATTTTAAAGGTCTTGATATAAATTAGGAAAATCCCTACACTCTTTTTGCACTGTGACAGATGAGCTATTTTGATATTTTGAATGATACGTGTTCCAAATTGAGAGTCTAATAGTAGAATGTAATGTAAATATCGATACTGATACATCAAATCTTCACTCATCGAATATCACTACAAATATACCTGAAAAGTTGTGAATAAATCTCATATTTTAGTTTGAGATCTTCAATCCACTTTACAGTGCACAAACGCGTCTTAATCGATAGTTGATTAATATTTGAGGTTTTGACTCAAATTAGTCTCCGAAATCTAACCCACGTATGTGCACGTTTTTCTTTAATAACTCTGAACTCCTAGACATAATTTTCGGTAAGCTGTTTCTTTTAGGATTTCGCCTAATTTCAGGCAGTGCTATACTCCAATGCAGTCATTCAGACTAAAAAACTGTGCTCCTGTACTCTTTACTCCAAGTGAAAATTATGAGTTTACGTGAGTAATCAGCGTGTTATGATAATTATGAATTGTGAAGTTTACGAAGGACTTTTCTAACGCCAACATCGTTTTGATATGCTGTAAATTAGGCACTGCGGTCTGTGGCAGTGAGGTTTCTAGCAACACTGAATGCTGAACGGAAAGTTATACGAGAAATAGTAGACATTACTGTTTATTTTCACACATCTGTCCAGGTTCCCATCTAACTTACCTCTGGTTTTGGAAACAAATCCTTTTACAAGTGGGCATTTTATAAACAACAGCCTTGCCTATTACAAACGATATCTTATTCCTGAAAAAAAAACCACATCTTATATATAGAGAGAGAGGTTCCATGAGTTTCGATTTCCAGCAGAGTATGTGTAAACTGAGATACGAATTTGCGTTGAGGATTTTTTTCAGGAAATGGCAGTTGACTACTTTACGCAACTTCGTCGGTATTGCTATGTCACACCCACAAGCTTTCTAGAGCTGATAAACCTCTACAAGACTCTTCTGGAACAGAAACAGAACGAAGTTAAGGGTTTCAAGCATAGGTCATTATGCAGACCTATCATTTCATAATCACTTCTGATGAAAGTCAGTACATAAAACACTGGAAAATTACGCATCATCGGGAATATTTTAATTTATCGAGTCCAAAAGTGGACGACTGGAGTACATGCTTCGTTTGTGAAACTTATTTGTAACGATCATCATATTGTCTTCATACATTGTCTTCCGCAACTAAGAACTAGATTCAGGAACCTTGTTCCAGAATAAACTATGTTGCTAGATGTAGAGATATCAATCACATTTCTACATCTTTTAACTCCTGAAGCTCTGCCCAATATGCCAAAATCAGGTACGAGATGGGTCTGCTTAAGTTGGAAAAGTCAGCTGAAGACGTGAACGTTATGGGGAGAGAGCTAGAGTTATTACAACCAAAGTTAGATGCTTCCACCCAGGAAGTCATGGATCTTCTAAGGGTATGTTTTATCCTACTCTTGTTCCATGTGCAAACAGGAAAATGACTGATGATTATAAACAAGTAATGTTATGGACGTATTCAGTCATTAAGTTGTTTGACTTAATCAGAATGAGACGTAACACAACTACTGATTAATTAGAATTTATTTATCATCTTTATAGTGGAAGATGCAATGGTTTCTAACAAATTTGCATCCAATTCAATCACTAAACGTAGATAATGATATGGAAAATAGCACAGCATGATTAGAAAAAGAGTTTCTTGGGCGCCTGTACGCCTGTGCACCTGCTTTGCCCTTTTACATTCAAGGATCGGGTATTTTGAATTTAGGTCTAACTTATTTCTTCAAACAGTTTCACTGTGCATGAGCCCCCAAAAAAAATGGTGAAGATAAAATACAGCGTCCTGCCATACATTCAGGGGTTTCTGGCTATTTCAGTGCGTATTTTATTTGGGTCAGAGAAAGGGATGAACTTAGGTTGCCGAGATGGCTGTAATATATAACATGGGTCTCACCTGGATATAGCACAAGACAGCTAAAGGCCTCACGAAAAAGCATGCGCACATCCTCTGATGAATGCTGCTCACTATGAATCAAAAATCTTTATGATGTTCAAGAGCAGGTGATTGACAGAGAGACGGTAGAAGCTAACAAAGTCAGAACTGTCGTTTTGGCGGAAGAAGCTGCTGCTAACATCAAAGCAGATGAAGCGAAGGCGATAAAAGAGGATACTGAAGCTGAGCTTCAGATTGTTATGCCTATCTTGGAAGAAGCACTGAGGGTATGATTATGTCGTAAGCCTCAATAAGATGATAGATGTTCCCCTACAAAGGGAGTGTAGTATCCTTAAGTTGAATTGAGTGGATATTTAAAGAGGCAACCTTTATTCTGTCATGTCCAGGCCCTTGATACGCTTACCAAGAACGACATTTCTGAGCTGAAGGGTATGAAAAGCCCACCTCTACCTGTTCGGATAGTCATGGAGGCTGTTTGCATTATGAAAAATATCAAGCCAACAAGGATGAAGGATCCATCCGGTTCTGGGAAGGTAAGAAAACTCGTAATCTCTGCTGTACGTCGTAAACAGCACGTCATGGTCTTTGTTGTTGACAGGATTCGAACAAAGGGATAAACCACTAGATCCAAAAGTAAGCCCTTAAGCTTTTCTGTTCCGGCCACTCCGGTGCAAAGCTAAAAAAGACGAACAAACTTCATAGCAGACGACAGAGTCTACAGTAAGCTTCTTCGCTGTAGCTGGAAAGTTTGGAGAATTTGACGTATGGCTAGCAAGTCCTCTTCTGTGTATGAAGTGGTGTCTTTAAGCGGGGGACTCAAGAATCATATTTCGGTTACAGTTTCGGTCATTTCATTCTTACACTTAACTTACTGTCAAAGATCTCAACGAAAATCTGTGTATTAAGTGTGTTGACAATATTTTTGCTAATATTCAAGTATCTCATACTTGGAGCGATGACCAGGTTCGGCTTGGTCTCGACATCGTTCTGTGACTTTGAATATCGTCGAGTACTTACTGATGGTAGTAACAATATATGAAGACTCGTTGTTATTTCACACCTTCACCGGAACGACTACCAAATTCTACAAAAGTCTTCCTCTGTTTCTCTCTTTACCTCATCATTGCGTAGCTGTTAGCTTAACACCATTAAACTGCATGCAGATGATTGATGATTACTGGGAGAGCAGTAAGAAGATGCTTGCAGACGCTGATTTTCTGAAGAGTTTAAAAGAGTATGACAAGGACAATATTCCACCGGCAGTGATTGTGAAAGTTCGCCCGTAAGGCTCGATCTCCCTTGGGTTGTCTGTCAATATTCAAATCTTCTTTTCTAGCGTTTCAATGTCTCGAATCTATGACAACAGTAATGGAGGATAAGTCTAGGCCTTCAATGTTAATTCAAGAGCAAAGTTTTGATTGTCCTGAAGCCACTGATTTGAAGCTTCCACTTTGATAATGTTCATAGTGTTTCCAAATGTCCTTTTAGACTAGACCAATAATGTATGTGAATTCCATTTATATATTATACCTGTCAGTTATTCTTATGTCAGTAATATTACATTCTGGTGAAGCTGACAAGGAGACTTTATTCACAAGATCTAGAAATGCGATTATCAGCAATCACAGGCTTATTTTTTGCGAGTCTTTCTAATCATTGGATCAATAAGACAGATACATCGAGAATCCGGACATGGATCCAACGAAGATTCAGGCTGTCTCTAAGGCAGCTTACGGTCTCTGCTGTTGGATTGGCGCGATGGAAAAGTACGACAAAGCTGCAAAGATCGTTGCTCCTAAACAAGCAGCCCTTAAAGTTGCAGAAGGTGAATACAAAGAAGTGATGTCGAAACTAAAAGAAAAGCAGGATGCTCTCAAAGTGGTAAGTCACCAAATAGAAAGGAGCTCGTAGAATTTAGCATCCTTCAAAACATGAGTAAACGATGTGAATTGTCTACATCAGTTGAATTGAAGTGGTGAGAAATTCAGATACCTGAACAACGAAAACGGAATGCCAAAACAGGTAGAAGCAAGACTCGCCGAGCTTGATGCAACACTTCTGGAAGCTAGGGAGAAGAAGAAGGCTGTGCAAGATGAAGCAGATACGTGTGCTATGAAGATTAGTCGAGCAAACCAGCTTATGACTGGTTTGGGAGGAGAAAAAACGCGTTGGACGGCTAGCGCGGAGGCCTTCGGCCAGACTTACATCAAGCTCACTGGGGACATCTTGCTAGCATCGGGAATGATTTCATATCTCGGAGTTTTCACTCCTGCCTTCCGGGACATAGCCATCAAGGTGAGTACTGTCACTGCTGAGTTTTTTGGAGTTTATCAATAGCGAGAGATGGCAGGTGTGGAGCGTGTTTCTCGACTCTCTCTCTCAATTTCGAAAATTATTTTCTAGCTGTTCTCCATGTTCGCTAAACCATGAACTTCAAAAAATAATCTCAGAAAACTCCTTAGGCTATTGCTTTTCTAATAAGAACTTTGAACCGTCACTGTTCACCAGAATTGGTGGCAAATGTGCAAAGACAGAAGGGTGCCATGCTCCGATAGTTTTTCTTTGAGCTCCATACTTGCAGACCCTGTCCAAGTTCGAGCTTGGAACATTGCAGGTTTACCCAAAGATAGCAGTTCGGTGGATAATGGCGCAATAGTATCCAACTGTCGAAGGTGGCCTCTCATGATTGATCCTCAGGTAGGTCGATACATCAAATATGAACTTAGTCTAGTATGTATTCTCGAGAAGTCCCGGAGAGAACTCAGAAGTTTAGAGCAGAGATATCTCAGCATTTCCTAGAATCCTCGTAACTGTTATACTGAGTCTGATCTCAGGAAGCACGATAAATCTCAATTCTCTACAAGGGCGTATGTCTGACTGTAGAGAAATTAAGTGTACAGAGATTATGATACTTACCGTATATCAAGCGTTCAAGTTGGTAGAGGATGAATAATTCCTAGTACCTTTTTGAAAACTGTATTCTGGTCCAAATCAATGCAAGTGAGAGTTCGTTGAAAAGCTTTATTTATTTCTCTGCAATCATGTTGCATATGTACAGTTTGGTAACTATGGGTTGCTACAGGGTCAGGCTAACAAATGGGTAAAAAATATGGAAGGAGAGAAGCTCGTGATCTGCAAGCTTGCTGACACTGATTTCTTGCGAAAACTGGAGAACGCAATCCAGGTCTTTTTCATCCCTAGAGCAACCATAAACGTCTGTGCTTTTGTTAAACCAGCCTTATTTTGGTTAATGAGCTCAGATGCGATCATATCGTCTGATGCACTTCAAATGAAAATGAACCCTTTCTTTATAACCCAATAGACTGTTTCTAAAAGTTAAACTAATGCCTTCCCGTCAACTCTTTGAACCAAACAACCAGTTCGGAAAGTCTGTACTGCTGGAGAACATAGGCACGGAGCTTGATGCTGTTCTTGAGCCAGTTCTGCTGCGATCAACCTTCAAACATAGTGGAAGTATCTGTATCAAACTTGGTGATAACATACTGGAGTATCATAACAAGTTTCGTTTGTATATCACAACGAAATTGAGAAATCCACATTACAGCCCTGAAATTTCTGCGAAGGTAAATTCACAGATGTTTTGAACTACATGTATGTATAATGCTGCTCATTATAATCTCACAAACTCATTTCAGGCTCTTTCAACTGACTCTATCGGGTAATGTTCACAGGTTACACTTCTAAATTTCATGATAACAACGGAAGGACTCATTGATCAACTGCTTGGTATAGCAGTAGCTAAGGAGAGGCCAGAATTGGAGGAACAAAAGAATCAACTAATTATTCAGGGAGCCAAAAATAAACAGCAGCTGAAGGAGATTGAAGACAAGACGTTAGAAGTACTTTCACAAGAAGGAAATATTTTGGAAGATGAGACTGGTATTCAGGTACTAGCAAAAGATCTCAATTCTATAGTTATGAAATCTGTGTACTATAAGGTCCTGAAAAAGAATATTGAACGGGCGGTTGAGTCTTCGGAGTGAAGATAGAATTCATCAGGAAAATCTTACAATTTTACGTGAGAAGTCAAATACCTTGAATATTAAAATGTATTTTTTCCAATCTATGTATGTATATAATGAATTATAGCTGTATAAAAAAGAAAGTCATAGTTATACGGCCTTTCTTATTTGCTTGAATAAAGAACTAACGTAATCATACTGGCTGATGGTAATCATACCGTCTCCCTTTCTGCTCTCCTATAAGATACAATTAATACAGATACCCTGCCTGAGCTGCCGTGAACAGGCATCAAGGTTAATAATAGGATGCGTAGTACCTGAGTTTTACGTTTTAAGTTTTGAGCCAAGTTAAGTTGCTAATTAAAACACGATGTGGAGATCTTGTAGGTATTGAACTCATCTAAGATTCTCTCGGAGGATATTACTGAAAAACAGAGGGTTGCTGAAACCACAGAAGCAGTCATTGATGAGACTCGAATGTCTTACATTCCTGTGGCAAAACTTGCTTCTATATTGTTTTTCTGTGTTTCAGGTAATTAGGTCGTATCTGAGTCGAATCTCTTTGATGAGAGCTAGATGAATGAGAAGGTTGAAAGCTGAAATTCTACATTACGGGCCTCTTAGTGCGCGATATGAGACCTCTACATAACCGTTCATAGTAATGATAAGCACTTGGAAGCACTTTGGATACCAATGGTGAACCTAAAACTCTAATAAGAATCTTACAAGTATCTGAGAAATAGCATTTCCCGGCATGTGGTTGCAGACATGGCAAACATTGAACCAATGTACCAGTATTCTCTACCGTGGTTTGTAGAGCTCTTTGTTTCATCCATCCTCAACAGTACAAAGGATCCCGACCTCAATATACGCCTTGAAAACCTAAATATTCATTTCAAATACTCTATATACTGTAACGTGAGTCGATCCCTTTTCGAGAAAGACAAAATACTCTTTGTGCTTCTCATGAGTATCAAGATTATTGGTGGAGAAGGACACATGGATCCTGAAGAGGTGAACTATACTACTTTCAAGCTCTGATTCTACCCGTACTAAACTTATCTGCGTGCGTATCTGCTTCGTAGGAGTAAAGGCTTTTGTGGTAGATATTCACAAATTCAAATCTTGGCTTTAAAGTCTACGAAACATCTCCCAATATTTTATATTGCAGTGTCACTGGCATGGAAACCTTGACTGAGCTTTCACATAATTGTTACTGCAATTAAAAGTGATGAGCTCTGTATCACCCAGACTAATCAGAAAGAATTGACTGAGTATCTGTTCACATTCTCAGCCTCATGTTGGATGGACCGTTCTTGACAGTTGCGATTTTTTATGACCGGGGGAGTTGCCCTTGAGAAGGAGCCTGACAAACCAGAAGGACCTGATGCCCTTTGGATTAACGATAAGATATGGGGAGAGTTGTATCGACTGTCAAAGGTTGCTTATCCTCTTCTTTTGATACAAATTACGTTTGGTACACTGACGATTACCTTTGCATAAATGATCACGTATATTCTGGCAGTCCAAAGATAAAATCCACTCTGCTGTAAAAGGCACGAGTAAATTTGAAAATAGTCAGAAATAGATCAGTGATTGATGAACTGATTTGAATTAAAGTCGATGGTAAAATAAAGCATGAGATGAAATTCGAAACGAATCAACAATATGATTTCAGGAAACTGCATAACTTTGTTAAACGTTCTAAGGAGATTTTTCATCGATAAATTGTACCTGTTACTGATATATTGTTTGTGCCTGATCGCAGCTTGAAAATTTCACAGATTTGTATCTCAACATTGGAAATGAAATCAAACACTGGCGAAGGATCTTCGATAGCACAAAGCCTCAGGTGAAAAAAGCTGTACATCGACATCAGTTTTGTTCATACGAGAGGGTTATGACTGGGCGCTAGCGAACTTCGTCTTACGCAACATTGATTATACGTAAAAACAACAAATCCAGCCTTACGCAGAATCATGCGATCTTTCGGTTAATTTGATTGAAGAATTATTGGTTACGTTTTATGTAGTAGGACCAGAAGGTATAGCATTTTTCCAACAGTGCTACTTATTCCTCGTATTCTATAAGCTCAATTTATGTTGGTATGATGTTTGTGTTGATGTATTCAGGAGGAACCTCTTCCTAGTCCATGGGCTGAAGATTTACATACATTTCAAAAGCTGTTGATACTGCGGGCTATAAGACCGGACAAGGTACTGAAACATACAAGTGATTGTTAGCGTGACGTAACTCTTTTCTGCAGCCAGACGTGATTGTCCAAACTACATAAGTTATGTGGAAACCACCGACAAATCAGGTCTCATGCTCAATTTTCATCTCATCTAGAATTCTCCCTAACTTACCCAGAAACTCCTTGGTGGAAATTCTAGTGAGTAGAACTGAGAAACATCGATAGGGCTGTGTATTATACATATGTGTATTTAATCTGCTTAAGTCTTCTGTATCCACATTAGTAAATGGAAAAGCAATATTATTTAGTATAGGCTGTTGTATAGAAAAGCAACTTGAATCATTAACGGCTAATTAAGTGATAGAACTTACTATTCTTTGATCTGAGTTACATTCAAAATGGCCACAAGTATAATCTAGTATCAGATATGTCTCCTCATTTGTATAGTTCGTATGTCTTTGTCATGTAAAATTTATGATCGCAGCTGGAATCCTTAGGTTACTCTGCATCATTGTCTTAACCACAATCCATAATTTTGCAACTCAGCACAGCGCTGTATTCTGACCGATTCCATAGATGTAAATGAGAAATGAATGAAATTATAATGAGAAGTGAAGATCTATTTCAAGTAAATACGAGGCCTAGTAATGCTGAGTGAGTAAGTTTATCATATTTTGTCCCTAGAGTCCTAGAAAATGTTGCATCTCTGCAGAGTCATTATGATGACGTCTCCTGATTGCGAATGTAAACTAGTGGCAGGTTAAAGTCTCATTCTGTGGTATGTTCTTGTAATATGTTCCTTCTATTTGATTTGAATAGGGTGTCTTAGTCTCCAAAAATGTATGTGATAACTTATAGTGATCCTAGGTCAGATACATTTGCATAACTACTGTGTGCTTATGTAGGTTGTTTTGGGAGTCACAAACTACGTGGAAGAAGTTCTAGGCAAGAAGTTTATTGAGCCGCTGCCATTAAATCTAGAAGCCTGCTATATGGATGCATCGTCAACGACCCCGCTAGTATTTGTTTTGTCACCTGGGTCAGATCCAATGTCGAGCCTCTTGAAGCTGTCTAGCGACAAGGGAGCCAAGCTGCAAACTGTCTCTCTCGGTCAAGGACAGGGCCCAGTAGCCACTGCCATCATGCAAGAAGCTGCTAAAGATGGGTCTTGGGTAGCTCTTCAGAACTGTCACCTTGCAGTCTCGTGGATGCCCACTTTTGAGAAGTATTGGGAGACAGAACTCACTTCAAAAGAGAAAGTGCATGAAAAGTTTAGGTTGTGGTTAACAAGTTACCCTTCAGAACACTTTCCTGTGGCGGTACTGCAAAATGCTGTCAAGATGACGAATGAACCTCCAAGTGGGTTGAAAGCCAACATGACAGGGAGTTATCTCATGTACCCCATCTCTGATCCCGAATTTTTTGGCCACTGTTCCAAGGAGAAAGAATGGCGACGGATGCTCTATGGACTATGTTTCTTCCATGCCTACGTTCAGGTCACTTGCTTCTTGTTCAATTCTTCAATCTACTGACTACTTTTTGTAGACTTAATGGAAACTGTGCAAATTTGAATTGATTTAGCCTTTACAACTCAATGCCATGATTATGAGGTTTTCCTCAAAACTTGCTGCCTCCACTTCAAGGGAGCACAGAAGTTTTTTAATTTGGAGCAGAGAACATCAGTTGTAAACAACTCAATGATGCCCAAGCAAAACTTATAATTTTCTTTACAAAGTTAGATATCTAAAATCACTATCTGATTGTTACAGATCATAACCCCATGTTTGGTTCCATGCTTCAAAGTTAAAATCATGTCTCATATTCATATATAAATAAAAATTTTTGAGACACAGTCTCGAGATCTTGCCTTCTCATAATAATAAATGCTTCTTGCAGGAAAGAAGAAAATTCGGGCCGCTAGGATGGAACATTCCATATGAGTTCAACGAATCTGACTTACGAATAAGTGTTCGCCAGCTTAAGATGTTTATAGAAGAGTATCCTGAAGAGGTACCCAATCCTAACTGCGCAATCCTAATCCAGTTGACTAACAGAATGTGTTCTACTTTACAGTGTCACGTACCTCTGTTTTCTTCATGATATCTACTTCAATGCAATAACAGATACCCTACAAAGCTCTGAATTATCTCACGGGTGAATGCAACTATGGCGGTCGAGTGACTGACGACCATGATCGAAGAACTTTGCTCACCATCTTAAGCGATTTTTACTGTGAGAAGATACATCAGGATGACTACCCATTTTCAGAGTCTGGAATATACAAAGCTCCACCGTACGGTAAGTCTGAACGAGAACGCCACCTAAACAATCATGCTCGATCTTGAAGTTTTCACGGCTGTCATTCACTTGAAATTTCTTTGCTGCCCACAGGAGAATACCAAAGTTATATAGACTTCATAAAGGAGCTGCCTTCTCAGCCAACACCTGAAATATACGGTTTCCATGACAATGCGGATATCACAAAGGATATGACTTCAACGGAACGCTTGCTCACATCTCTTCTACTTGCTGCTCCTTCGACACAAGCTGCAACTAAGAGTGGTGACAAGAAGGGACCCTCACCGGACGAGCAACTTCTCAACATTGTTGTAGACATCCAAGGAAAGATCCCGGCGAACTTCGACATAGAGCAAGCGCAAATCAAGTTTCCTGTAACTTATCTAGAATCCATGAACACAGTGTTGTGTCAGGTACTGTAAGCGCAAAACTTCACTTTGCACAACAGCACCATCAATATAGTCCTTCTTTGTTCCGATACTATTACCTATCTGACTTCGATATATATAAAAGAAAACTGTGGTTGTGCTCATGATCTTTACTTGGATGGATGGATGGATGATCAGGAACTAGAAAGATACAACAAACTAATCACAATCATACGAATAAGTCTTGATCAAATCCAGAAGGCAGTGAAAGGCTTAATTGTAATGAGTAGCGACCTGGAGCTCCTGGGGAGAAATCTTGTGGATGGGAAAATTCCTGTGATGTGGGCGGCCAAGTCATACCCTTCGAGAAAGCCTCTGGCTAATTATGTAGCTGATCTCCTCAACAGAGTCGCCTTCTTCCAAGACTGGGTCTCTAATGGATCGCCTATGATCTTCTGGATATCAGGATTTTTTTTCACCCAATCGTTTCTGACAGGAGCAAAGCAAAATTTTGCCCGTGCTAAGCATTTCCCAATTGATATGATAGATTTCGAATTCCAGGTTATTGAAGACCCGGTATGTGCACCTTCCAAATAATACTGATGTGTTATCAAAAAAACTTCTTGTATTCCTACACATGATACTTTTCAAAACCGTAGCAATCTGTCTAATGTCTCTCAGAACATAACAAAAGTACACTCAGAAGTTGTTTGTACCTTCAAAATGGTAATGAATTATGCCTGCAAATAATTCCTTTCAGTCCTGCAGCCGAGACATGTTAACACCACACAAGTTAGAGGCCTGGTTTTTGTCGACAAGATCAAAGAACAATTATATCCTTCCTAAACCCTAAAAACTCTTTTTTCTCTTCAACTGGTAGAAAGATAGAAACGTCTCCTCTATCTGATGAATGCTATATGCCCGCAGGCGACAATAACTACGAAGCCAGAGGTCGGGGTGTATGTGAAAGGGCTGTTTTTGGAAGGCGCTCGATATGACTACAAAACTCATGCTCTGGGAGAATCTCAGCAGAAGGTGCTGTACACACCTGCTCCAATCATATGGATGATACCAAACGAGGTGATCAAGTTCAAGTCCTTCCCGCATTACATGTGCCCAATGTATAAGACGAGTGATCGCCGTGGAATTTTATCAACCACTGGCCACTCCACCAACTTCGTCATGGAAGTACTCCTCCCCTCCTTGCATCCTCAAAGCCATTGGATCAAGCGAGGTGTGGCTCTTCTTACTCAGCTAGATGAGTGATCTATGATCTGTGATTTATGATATAATGACAGATCAAATGATAATTTGGCTCGGAATTGATCTTGCACACAACCCAGAGCAAGATCCGGCAACCCTGTGTACAGTTTCAATGAGCTATTTATTTTGTAAATCATGATTTCTATGGTTCATCTCCTCGCTCATTTTCTGAACCCCTCCGTGATATATATAATCTGAAGGAAGTGTTAGATGACTCACATACGTTTCATTATTCCTTACTCGACGTAAATTTTTTGTGAATTATATGAATAACATGAAAAATTTCTTACAAATGTTAGAACATTTCTTATGTTATTCTCATAATTCACAAAAAATTGTGTACTATGATAAAGAAAGAAAAATATTGGAATGTAACTACATTAGCAAACATTTAACAAAGAATAAAATTGTGTTTTTAAAAACATTGTAAATTTTAAATATAATGAATTAGATTGAATAACTTAATTTTATAAGATTTCAGTCTAGATTATTATTTAACTAGATGCACAACATTCATAGTGAAGCATTCCACTATGAAATAAAATTCCTCTTCACATATTAACATTATTTTACAATTTTAATTTTAAAACTTGTATGTGAATATGAATATGTGAATAAAATACACTTAAATACATACTCAAGACCTTTGTATTTGAAAAACATAAATTTAACAAATGAATTTATTTTATGATAAAATACTATTTCATTGTTTTTATACCTTGCATAACCTTCCGACCAACACGTACATAGCATGAAATTTTACCTTAAAAAACTCTTGATAAGTGAGGAGTATTTTGTGGAAGTAATTCTTCCCATAGCATGAAATATTACCTTCAAAAAGTGTATTGATTTAGCAGATTACACAACTTTTGTCTTCTACTATTTGATACTGTTGTGAGAAGGAAACTGAAAGAACAAAATACTTAGACAAATGAAACAATGCTCTGGGATCTCTTTGTTAACATGGCTCTTGAATATTCTCAAAATAAAGTATATTAATGAGTTAGGAGTGTGTTCCAGTCCCATATTTATATGAGAGTATTAGGGTTAGTGTAAACCCTCTTTGATCCCATATTAATAGAGATTGTTGGTTAGACCTCTCGACAGTTCTTAGGTTTAGGATAAACCCTTTCTATTATGAGAGATAATCGATCGGTAGGGTTAAGGTAAACTCTCTCTATTATTAGAGATAATCTGTAGGTTATCACAACACTCCTTTCCGAACAATGAACTCTCTCATTAAAAAACTTCAAGGAGATTGAAGAAAAAGAGTGAAGTCATCGTTCGCTTTCTTATTCAACTATTGACTAGAACATCTGATAAAGTCTGCATCCCTGCTGCGACTATGAGTTTTTGATGCTGCGTAGCTGGTAATGCCTTGGTGGATATATCCGCGATGTTCTCCGCTGAAGCTATCTTTCGCACTGCAATCCGGCTAGTCTGTGTGAGGTACTGTGTGTAGCTGAACAAGCGAGGACTGATATGCTGAACAAGCGAGGACTGATATGCTTGACACGGTTTGACTTGATGAAACCAAAAGATACTTGCTCAATACAAGTTGTGTTATCTTCAACAATTGTTGTTGTCTTCTCTTGGAGTGGAAATCCAGCCATCTCGGATATAGCAATCTGCATGATGCGAAGCCACACTGCTTCGCGAGTTGCGTCGTGAAACGCAAGGAGCTCAACATGATTCGTTGAAGTTGCCGTGACGGTTTGTTTTGTGGATATTCAACAAACGGATGCTCCATTTTTTATGAAAATGAAACATGTTTGGGACTTGCCAGTCGGTGGATCTTATATGGAACCCTCAGTCGGCATAGCCTATAATATCATTCTGGTCGCGGCAAAAATAAAGACCAAAATCTTATGTTACTCAAATGTATCTGAGGAGGTGGTTGATGCCTTGCCAGTATCGTGATGTGGGGCCTTGGCTGTGACGGGCAAGGACGTTGACGACAAAACTGATGTCGGGTCAAGTGTTTGTCGCCAAGTAAAGGAGTGCGCCAACTACTGCTAGATACTTCAATTTGTCCAACTCCTCCTTCCCGGATTCAGCAGGACGATAGGGATCATCGTGAGTTTTGCTCCTCCCTATCATAGGTGCTGATAGGGCATTTGCGTTTTCCATGTTGAATGTCTTGAGCATAAGTTTTTTGATGAAGAAGCATACTTACATCTATAAGATGAGTAATCTGGAGTACAAGGCAATATGATGTTTTGCCTAACAGTTTCATCTCAAACTGTTTAGTTAGTATGAGTTCAACACGCTTTGTTAATGCTGGTGTACCAATAGTTCAAATCATCGACATAAACAGCTAGGATCACAAATTGTGTATCTTCCTTCAAAACAAAAATGCTATGTAGAGCAGGATGATTTTGGAATCCATTAGACAATAGATACGACTTCAAGTGATGGTTACACACTCTTTCGGCTTGTTTAAGGCCATAGAGGGCATTCCGTATTCGTAGCCCGTGAAAATGTCCTAGTTGGATTGGTGGCAGGCTTGGCACAAACTCTGATGGAGGTTTGATATGCAGATCTGTGTCCAAGTCGCCATAGAGATAGGCAATGACAACATCTAGGAGGCGTTTTTAAGTGAAAGTTGTACTTCTAGGCTTAAGAGATAGCGGAATGAAGTACTATCCATGATAGGGGAATATGTTTGGTCAAAATCAATTCCTGGTTTATGAGTATAACCTTGTGCAACTAGACGTACCTTGTAACAAATTACGTTTCCGTGTTCGTTACATTTTCTATTGAATATAAGTTTGTACCCTATGGGTTTGACTGAAGATCTGTTACAAGTGATTCAAATAATGAACGCTTGCGAAGGTATTGGTACTCGGCATGTAATGCTTATTCCCACTATGGCCAATCTGGTCTCTTTTTAGCTTGATCTAAAGTAGTAGGATCAAAATCAGAACTATTAAGACTGGTTACAAATGATTCAGGATTTGATCAGGGATATGATGATTCTTCGGGTTGTTCCACTAGAAGTGTTGCTCGTATATGAGTCTTACGTTTCTTGGGTATTGAAGCAGGCACAGGGTTTTTTGACCCAGGTATTGGATTTTGGAGCATTCTAGGTCCGGACTGAAATCCGTCACGGAGCTTTTAGGCTAGGTTTTGCAAATCTAGAAGTTTTCTAACCGCAGAATCTGTAAGTGTTGTTCGTGGATCTGGGTTTAAAAAGAAAGTTTATTGGGTTCTAAAGTTGAATACTATATGGTTGGAGTGTCTACCGCCAGGAAAACGAGTTTCTATGAATTTGCAGTTCTGAAATCTAGCTTTGTAAACATCATCTTTATCGGATAACTTGTATCGAATGATACTGGAGGAGTCAAATCCAAGATATATAACTTTGATCTATGGGGTTCCATGGATTTATCTTCGGATCTGCAACAGGTACCCAAATCTCACAACCAAAGGTTCGAAGATGTGATATATGCGAGACTCAACCGGATGCTAATTCTAGCGGAGTCTGAGTATGGAGTAAGGTTGGTCTAAGACGTACAAGAACGGCAGCGTGACCCCAATAAGAAGGTGGAAGTTTAGCATGAAAAAGGAGGGGTCGGACTAAGAGCTGAATTTTCTTAATAAAAGCTTCGGCTAGATCATTCTAACTATGCTCGTAAGGAGCGGAATAAGTAAGTTCTATCCTCGTCGTTGTGCAATAGTCCTCAAATGCCTGAGATTTAAACTCAAGGGCGTTGTCCATTCTAAGGAATCAAACTGGATGGTTAGGTTAATGGTTTCTAAATTTTAATAGCATCGCTAAGGTCTTGAGAAACACCATGCTTCTAGTGGTAAGAATAAAAACCTCAACATGACGTCCAGATGCATCAACAAGGACAAAAAAATATTTGAATTGATCTGATGTTTGACTGATTGGGCCACACCAATCACCTTGAAGACGATGCAATGGTGCAGGCATCTACTCCGGTAGTTTCCAAGTTGAAGGTCGTTTGATCAATTTTCCTTGAATGCATGCTGGTCATTCTCGAACATGCTCCGCGTCGCTAGTGCACATCTTGTGGCCGGTCAGGAGGGGTATCATCCTCCTCATCATAGTAGTTCACAGGTGCCCCAGTTGACTATGCCACAAATCCGCTCTGGCATTTGTTGTCATGAGGGATGTGGATGCACCTTTACAAGGTAGACTTGGTCGTGTAGTGCGAGCGATGGCCTCTTCCTTATCCGGTTGGGTAGGGGTAGCGCCCAAATTGGACCGCGCATATGCAAGTTGTCTCTTCCTTGCATCCGTATGGGTGGGGTTAACTCCCAAGATTAAAATTTTGTATAGGCCTGTTATTCTCGCTTTAGCTGTGGCGAGGATCGTCGTCTCATGCATGAGTTGTACTATTTCTTCACCGCACTCCACCGCCGTGGAGGCGTGGATATGGTTGGCACGTAAATCCCGGTAGTGATCAGACTCCGAGGGATGTCAGGTGCGTACATTGCCTGTTTGTAGGTGAGTGGAGCCCCTCCGGGCAAGACTATTGTTGCTTGGCCCTCACTGAATATCAAATTTTGCATTCTTGCGATTGTGAGTATGTCACAAGTTTGCCACGGCTCGTTTTGAGTTTGGAATTCAAAGTAAGTCTGGTAGTTAAAACCGAAATGGTGGAGGCACTATCAAGTAGCGTGATATTGTTTTTGTTGAGGGTACCATGACGCATTAGAATATAGTTTTCAGGATCAATCCCCGTAAGTGTGAAAGACGGAGCATCTACATGTAACACTAGGGTTTAGAGAGAAGTTCACTCGAAGATGAACACATAAATTCTGAAGATGAGAGATCCTAACAATGGTTCTTCTCTCCCTTATATAGCTCTCATCAACAAGTACAAGGAGATAAAATCTGATTTCCACCATCATCTCACTCTTAATGGATGAATGACGTGGTAGATAATCCTAACAAGCACACGGATCGCTTACGTGGCGCTCCCAACTAACACACACAATTCTTACCTAACAAGCACACGGATCGCTGACGTGACACTGTCAACTAACACACCTACTCTCTACCTACCAAGCGCGCGGATCGCTGACGTGGCAACTATGACTAGTGCACGCTTAAGTATCTATATCAACATTTAGAGTAACCTCTACTTTAGTCCTAACTAACTAAAGATGGTTACAAACCTCCCTCCTTTTAAGATGCAAC